CATAAAATTGTGCCCACATTCCAATATAACTCCTGAAGTAGGAAAAGTGTCAATGTCAACAGGGCGGTTGGATTCCTGTGGTGATTGTCATCAAGATATTAAACTGGGACGGCTGCTTCTAAAGTACCTCGGTTACAGTCAGTACGCTCTCGATGTGCAAAGCATATTTCACAAATGTATGTGACAGATAACTGGCTGAATAGAACAGGACTGGTGGTAGTGCCAACTTTAGAGCAACTGCTGATCATTTCAAATCAGTTGAAAGATAAAGTAGAACTGTTAAGAATTTACTCATTTTCATAGTTATAACAAAGTATTTGTTGCCCTCGAAGCTAGACCTGATCAGGTATCTAATATGATGTACTCGTCCTACTTAGACTTAGACCAAGAATTCAACACAGTGAACATACATCAGTATTTCGTATGGACGACAGAACCAACACAAAAACGGGGAAAGTTTATGTCGAAGAAATTAGCGGCGCTAAATGCCTGAAGCCCAGGACTGACTGCCTGAAGCCTTGGTATTGCTTCCTGGATAATCACGAATGGCTGTTCAGGAATTCGATAACAATCTATAGCATTGATCGCTGCCGAAGAAGAACAAATCTGAAGACTAGAAACGCGTTCACAACTCATCGTTACTATCTAAAAGCACGGCAGGAATTTTCGGACTCCTCGATGTAGAAAACAAGAGATTGTAATACACTGGACTCATTCATTAAGTCGAAGAAAATTCCTGAACCTTGATTGTGCATGGATGCAAAAGTAAGGACGTAAAGTGAGTACGTGGTCCATTTCGAGTCCGGTGGAGATTGTTATGGCCTTCAAAATTATCTGCACCCACTTGTCCCACTGCTCCCCTAGTCTGTCTAATTATTTATATGAAATGGCGATGCCACCATTCACATGTAAGGATTGAGCGTGCTCAAAGCGAAATTGAACCCTCAGCAGCACCAACTCTTTACACCGCGAATATACGAGAAGTCCATCGCGGATGATGACTCCGATCTCAAAGAGAGAAAAGCAGAGAGCGGGAAATATGTTGCTGAACATCCACATCTTATCCTCGCGGATCCTCTTGTAACTCCGTGAGTTGAGTGCTGCCGATTCTTCTTCTTACTTATACAGCTCATCTCTTATTCTTAGTCAAAATTGATGCAGTAACATGACCAATTATGTGTACAGCGTTCGTGAGTATTCCAACTCAAAGCACTGTACCGAGCAGGAAAGCATTAGACACGCCTTGTGCCATGAAAAAGTATATTGCGAATTCAAAATGCGTGGACTCTCTTCGATTGCCTTTGTGGAAAAGACTTTCGAAATCGAAGAATCAGCATTGCGCAAGCTCAAGAGGAGTACCTTCACTGGTAAAACCTAAGAATTGTGACTCTGGCTACTGAATTGATTGAGAGTGATCTATTACGTGGACTGAACAAGTGAGCAGGAGGTCTTGCTAAGGAACATTGAATATCTGAAGACTGACAGATTGGGTGTAAACTTTTCACGGATCAGAACTTGATGTCTACTTTGATTTCCATGGTAATTTGGACGAGAGGGCAACTTGTGAGGCAGAATGTGTGTTGTAATAGTAATGCAGCCATACCCCATCCAAATCGGTTTCACATACTCTAAGGCACATCGTCATCAGTCGAAGGAACGGACATAAACAAGAAATTCACTTTTAACGCCAAATTCCGGACATGGAGAAAAAATTGTAACATTTTTTCTGTGATTTTCAAAATGCTGTCACAATTGAAAAGATGATGACAGTGTTGCCTCTGCACACAAGGGAATGTGCGAAGAGGCAACATAATGAGTGCTATTGCACGGGTACCAACTTGAGACTGGTGATGTTACACATGTCAAGAGAATGAGAGTCTTCGAGGTTTGATGCACTCAGCATTATCAGAGATGAGCTTTGAATATATATTTCTCATATGAAGCATTAAAAGTAAATGAAAGACTGAATATTAGAGCTGTGGTGCCCTTCTATTTTGATTCCACTTGAAAATCCGTTGCTTGATTATGGGTCTTATCTCTCTTTTTAGTTCGTTCTAGCTAAGATGAAAATTCCTCTTATTCATAGAGTCTGGTCAGACTAACTTACAAGCAGTCGATTGAAAGAGATTGATAGCTTGATACAGATGACATCACACATCAATCGGACTCCAGGGTACAGAGAATGTGGATTCTACAAACTTGAGCTGTTTCTCATATAAGAAGCTGCAGGTACGTCGACCGGCAGTAAGAAGAAAACAGTGTACTCGGACAAATTGAGTGCCAGCCACTTTCTTCGAACAGTTTGGAGGAGAAGACAAGAAACCGCAGGACTGCAGAGTATGGACCGGCTGCCCATCACGCAGCCCCTGTCTTGGAGACTTTGCAACGTCAAAGACAAGAGCAATAAATAAGACGTGCTTTCGACTCAATTCGCTGACGATGGCTGCTTAGATATTAGAAACTCAAACTGGACGTAACAGCTGACTATCCGCTATATGAGGAGTGTTGAACATTTTAAGGTGACCAGATCAGTTTCTAACTTACCGCTTTTAGAAGTTGGACCACACATTCCTAGCGTTCATGCTACTTTGGCAGAGAAGTCCAATTCATGAGGAAGTAGATTGAGTTGAGTTCAAATGTTCTGATACGGAAATGTGATTAGATGATGTACAATTTCGACGTCCGGGCTGTTTGCTGGACCCGATCGAAGGAGTATCGTCGAGAGCGCCTGTTCTGAGAGAGGAGGTGGTTATTCAGTTAACCCTGTTGCATTTTCAGCTCCCACGTAGATGAAAAGACCAACATGTAGTTAAAATTCATCTTTGCAAATCACTTAACGAAAACAAGGTCGTTCAACATCAATATATGACTCATTTGGAGTAATCTGAATAACAAGCTGAATAAACTAATTAACAAACTCAGTATGTCAGTTAAGATGTATTAGTCAACATTTATTAATAATTTTGCCCCCTATCAATACATGTACATCTGCAAAAGATCTCAAAATGAAATAGAAGCTTTCATATATATCATTTCAATATTGTCACCAGAAATTAATCTCTAGGTGATAGAAAAAGCATTTTTCTATACTTATTTTCATTCCTATGAGGAATTGGTTTGGATCTTATGCTTTCTAATTCCAAAAAAATCGGTTGATTTGATATCAATCTAGATAAAATTGCACATATAATGGCATGTCAAACGTTGATAAACAGAAAGTAAGTAGTTCATGTAATATACATTTTCTGTATATTCTCCATTGATAATGAGTTCAGTACAAGCCATATTTCTCCAGTAACAAAACAGCTGTTTTAATAGAGTATGAAGAAAGAGTATATTGTAATGTCCACATTATTGTAGGCACCAATAAATGAATACCACTGCATTGGTGACCATCTGCACTTGAGTTTTCCAAATCGAAAGATCAGATTTGTTGACGCTGTTGAACCCATCATCAGATATGCACTTTCACATGGGGAAATATAGAACTATTCTCTATCCCAAGCTTGCGGACCTTCAGCTGAAGAGAGTCATCTTGATGTGCTCTCACACGGGGAAGATAGAACGATTTTTCTGTCCCAGGTTTGCTCTGACCTTCAGCTGAAGGTCAGAGCAACTGAGGGCTGTTCAGCTGAAGCCAACTGTGGTGCAAGAGAATGGTGCAAGTCAAGCAGGATTCAAAATCTGGGCTCAATTCTTGCTGTGTACTGAGCTCTCACTTGTACATGAAGGTCAGCTATTGCTATGAACTAAACAAATAGTCGCATTTGTAGCCATCAAAAGCCGAAACTAAAGGCAAAAGTACAGGACCTTAGTGCAGTCACTATAGAGCTAGCTACCAGTATAATAAGATGACAATTAGAGAAATCCAGAACACAATCACATTCATTCCTTGTATGAAGCATTTCCACGGGGGTCACGAGGCTTTTCATGAGCGCAGTTGAAGCTTCGCAGATCCTTTGTAAGATATTGTCATATCTACATCGAGCTGCCGTAGCTCACGCTGGGATGTAAGTTTCTATTTCTATTATGTTATATGTTTAACTGTATCATGAGTCATTTGTTCTGTATGACGCTGCTCGAAGTAACAACTGATAATCACGTTTATGGTAGAGAGTTGTTAGGTCCAGATTTGTGGGGCGACTTTCTTTCTTCCTATTATATTAACACGTACATCAGTCTGATGACTATAATTCCAAGTTATATGATTCTGTTGGATGCTGCCTATGTTGAGTATCGTCCCTCTTCTGACTTTGTCATTGGACTGATCTGGATGTCAGACAGTTGTGAGATCCTACTCTGGCAAAGCGTTCAAAATGAAGAATTGCCGACCTCTTTCGCTTTTGCTCACCTTGTTCACGCTTTGCTACACCTCACATGGAAACTTTGAAGCCACTATTTATGAGATGTTCTAACAGTGGAGCCACAACGTGGCCAAAACGTACAAAAACACAACTTTGAAGAGTAAGGCCCCAAGTCGCTTCGAGGAAAATCTCAAAAAGATCGAAGAGCACAACAAAGGCCCTTCCACCTACAAACTTGGATTAACAAAGTTTGTAGATCTTAGCCCAAAAGAATTCCAAGAGAAACGCCTTTCACGTAGATTTCAAAGAGGAGCAAGAGTCTTCGAGAAAACCCTCCTCAGAGGTCCTCTTGGAAACTTGTCCAAGGACCCTGTAGACTGGAGAGCTAAGGGGGCTGTAACGCCAGGGTGCTTGTGGTAAGTTTCAATACAGTTTGGTGCTTTCTTTGACAGGAAGTGCACGTGGATTTGCATAAGGCCACTCAGGAGATCCTTTCTCGCTTTAATTCAGCAACTGGAACTGATGAGATATCGAGATTATCAAAAAGCATCAGCCACAATATGAAGATAAACATGTTTAAATTATGTTTGCAGGTAGCTGCTGTGGAAGGAATAAATCAAATTACGAAAGGGCAGTTGGTCTCGCTGTCTGAGCCGCAACTGGTGGATTGTGACACCACAAATCACTGGGGGTTTCATGGATGTGGCATTCGACTACGTAGTTAAAAATGGCCTAACAACAGAAGACCAGTATCCAAACACTGCTGATAATGGTTCTTGCACACCCAAAACGGTACAATTCTCAGTCTATCAAAGAAGACAAAGCCAACTAGACTACCGGATGAGAATGTCTGACTGATCTAGCAATGCAGGCTTCTCAGATTCCAAGCTTGTAGTTGTGCAGGCTGCTGTTAAAACTGACGGCTACGTAGCCGTACCAGAAAACAATGAGAAACAACTACAACACGCTGTGGCACTACAGCCTGTACTCGTTGGTGTTGATGGAACTAGCATAATGTTATACAAAGAAGTAAGATTCAGTTCTCCATCCAATCTAGTGCTTTCATGCTCATCGTTTGCTTCAAAGCTAGGACACTTCTTCGAATCTAATTTCATTTTCGAACTCCGCTGACCCTTGCATGGCATTCCATATACATCAGGGAATATACGACAATACCACTACCTCAGTGGTTAACCATGCATTGCTCATCGTGGGCTATGGAACTGAGAACGGAGTTGACTACTGGGTAGCGAAGAACTCATGGGGCAGCACCAGTTGGGGTGAACAAGGCTACATTCGTTTGAAGCGCAACGTTGACAAGCCGGAGGGAACCATTATGCTGGCTACGGAGCCCTTGTACCCAACCATGAATAGTCGACATAATCCAGACCCCAGTCCAGTCAGTCCATCGGTTCCACCTCCAGCCCCAGTCAAACCCAGTCCAATCAGTTCAGAGGTTCCACCCCCAGGACTATCCGGTTCATCCAAGAAACCGTGGACATTTAGTCCATAGATTCCTTCGAAATGATGAGAAGGATGCGAGAGTAACTTCTTTTTTTGCTCTAGATCTCTCGAATTGTTCTCAGAATAAACTGGGACCAAACAGTTAGTATTAGTTAAGTTTGTGTTTACTGCATTGCAGATAGGTTATGGGGTTATAGGGGTATATGTACTTCGGTCTCATTTCAATGCTGCAAGATATGAAAATGTCACAATATGTTCTTGTTTCACTACTCTGACGTCAACATGTTAGTGACATTCAGCTAGATTGATCTTTTCATCAACGCTGTTTATTCATCTTTATCTCAATAAATAAAATCAGTGGACGGATTTATCTCATGAGTCTCATTGACATCCAGATCAGATTCTCTGGACTTTCGAAATTAAAGCTGGATGTTATTCACTTCTTAAACAAAGTTTCTCGTGTTCTTACCAAAGAAAGTAAAATCCTACGGCACGTACCTCTAAATGTTACATTTATATTTAATGGAATAGAAGTTATTTGAAAAATGTAAAATTGATGCAAGTATGAAGTCTTTCAAACCTTGAATCAATTTTACCTTGATCAAACGAAAATAATTCACCGATTACTTACGAGTATTTACAACTTACGATATAACCGAGACATTTTTTGAAACTAAATTTTGCAACGAAAAGTTACGAAATCTTTGGCAAGATCTGGTATATATTAGCCTAATGAAGATTTGAACACTCTTTGTAAAACATTAAATAAAGGAGGAAGCCTTACCAAATTCTCAATCCTCTTTTTGAATGTTGTGCGAGAGACCACATTTAGATTACATATACGAAAATCCGAGTTCATAAAGGTAATTACATTTGTCTTGATGCAGAAATGTGACATGGAGGACAGTCGAATAAATCTCAGAATATGAGCATCCACGAGGAGAAGAAGAGTGCAGTACAGACGTAGACATACAGGATTAAGCTCCTCTGTACGATGGAGCCTGCGCACTTCAAAGTCGATCTAAGATTTTGGGAGCTACGTGTGTCTACTTTCCAACACCTTGCTGTATCGCTCTGTCGCCACTAAGGAATTGTATGTATCAATGCTGTATTATACAACACTGTATAGGGTTGAAGTGCAAGTTTATGAATGTCGAATTTGAACACCTCTGGGATGTGTTGAGAATCGCTCGTCAAGAAAACCCCTTTGGCCGAAATTGCAGATTCGCAGTTGTATGAAGACGAAGAAGTCATGGAGGAAGGCATAGTAGATTTGCAGAGCAATTGAATCGTTTTCTCGCTTCTTTGCCCATAAAATTTGATCTTTTACGCCTAAAATTGCAATTATGCATTCTTTGATACAATTATACTATATTATGCTGTATTATACATCATATACAGATGACTGGCTGTATAATACAATTCAATAGTCACCACTCAAAAAAGTCTCCGATACTTATCTCACATAAAAGCAAACCCTCATTTCACCCGAGTATTATCGCTTGCCTTGAACTTCACCCATATCTCAATGCTCCAGTATGAGTTATATAAAGCGAGGCTCACAGTAAATGTGCGATCTCCCAATCCTCTACTCCTCTGGTCTTGCGGGTGATAGACAGCATCGACTCCCGCCAAGTGTGGGCAAGTATCCTTAAGACAAAGAAGTCCTGTCCTGTGAACCTTCCAACTTTCGGATTCCATTGTGATGTGTTTGTCCGGGTGCAGCAGACGAACGAACCTTTGCAGACGGAAACGATGCTGCAATTTGGATCCTCTGCAATGTACACTTCGTGATGTTCAAGGTTGCCAGAATAGAGGCGATTTTGCTGGATCAAGATTTTCATCCAGCAAAACTGATAAACATACATCACTGCACCTCTTTGAAGTCTGAAGTGGGTTCAACTGTGTTCTCAGGGCCTCGGAGCATGCCAGCCAGGAGCTAGCCATGGTTTTCGGCAGGGCTCCTGCGATGTTGAAGTGGGCATACATGCGGGCGATGCTTGCTTGCTTAACGCGGTTACTTGTTGACGAAGAAGCCAACGACAAGCCTTGTTCGCAAGCTAGGCCCCATGCAATTGCTCACACTGAGGACTACAGACAAGGCACTTCTGCGAGCTTCTGCGAACCAATAATGCAACTGATCTGTGTCCCAAACTCCATGCCTAACTCATGCTGGAAAGATTCACAGGCTTGGACCCGGGGCGCATTCTACCTGAAATCGGTCCCGGTGAGCACCTGCACTGCGAGGAAAGTGTCAGCCTCGGTGGACTCATGAGCATGACTCTGAGACTTCTGCTGACTCTGAATCACGATGATTATCAAGTTTTTCACTAACTGGACGCATGCGTTTAGATTTATTTAATTATATTCTGATCCGATCCGATATTCATTGACTTCTGTACCAGATTGAGGGTCCCTGAGGGTCCATGTCTTTGACTTGAGAATAAAGTCTTGTATTCAAAGTCTTGTATTCAAAGACGAAGTTACTGGAGGGGTCATTGCACCGGCAACGTTACCCAGCAGCCTCTGGTGTCAGGTCTTCGAGGACAACGTGTACAACGCAGACTACCTTTCTTCTCGATGTCAGTGCTTCATCCACTGGCACATGAAAACTCAGTTTGGAACAACGCCAGTGAAGCCTGGGAAATAAGAGGTCTTGTTGGCCACTTGTTGTGGATGTTGGCTATGATATATTTTGGTCTCAAAAGACTATGTCTAGAGGTCAGAGGGACTGAGCAGCTAAAGCTCAGTCCAGGTTGCACTGAGCCCTCGAAGTCAATGGAGTCACATTCCATTAAGAGCACGGAATGTTCTCTCCATTTATCAAAAGGCAGAGAGCTCTTTTTCTTGATATAACCAGGTTAGATCAAGACATATATGGTGTAAATTTCTGCCTAGGCTTATAACATGTTTGAAACAGAAAATGTAGCACCACTTAAGCTTGTAAGAAGGTTATAAGACGTTTGTAGGGCTAGCACTAATCCTGATAGGTCAGTTAAAATATTGACCTTCGTTACCTCATGAGAGCTAGGGTCCATGAAGCCCTTTGTCCATGTAAAGGTAAGGGACGTAGGTTCATTGCATAACATATTCTCAGTCGGTTGGGGAAATCCACACACATGCTTGATGAATGGAGGCCCAAGTTGAAAACTTTACATTTTATTTATAAATCTCAAGACCAATGAAACCTTTTGTGTATCGCAACTCCCTAGATCTCTTACGTGTAGGTAGGTGAGATCGATAGTGCGATTCACTCTGGAGATGCCTTTGGTAGTTTTAGTAGGAGCCTTACGCACTTGGCCATACCCTTTGACGTAGAAACTTGAAGATTAGGGTCATGATACACGTAAGCTAGTTCATTCTTTAGAGCACAGAGTGATTTGACCGAACTGAAATCTATCCTTTATAAATTGATAATTACCAGATGTTGCTTTTGTTTTAAACATTTTGAGTTTGAATGTATCTATGTAAAAGTTTCAATTATCATTTCCGGGATTGGGCAAAGATTTTATGAACAGCCAAATGTTTCTAACGGTTTCGATCTATGAAACCGTTATGGTGGTGATTATAATGGTGAGTAGAATTTATCCAAATTATATCTTTTATCTTTTTTTATATTATTATTTTGTTCATGTTTTGTGTTACTTTTTAATTGTAAAAATCTGAAGGCCGCAACATTGGTGAATTTTGACACAAATTAATGATGCTAATAATTGTATCGGTCTTCGAAGTTACTAATCGTGAAAAAAAAAATATACCAAAATAAATTTGCTCTTCAAAAACTGTTCCTCATTCTAAATTTATGTGATAAATAATTTTGAAAGAAATTGAAAAAAAAACAGCGAATTTGTAGTTTTTTGATGAAAAAGTATAGGCCAACACAAAATCAATCTGGCTTGATATAATTTAATTACGTACATCTACATACATACACGAGCAGAATTTAAATGTGGACATCCAGAAAGTGTAAGAAATCAGTGCTAAATTTACATTATCGTATGATATTATTGTTATGCTTCATGGTATAATAAAATATTTACATAGGCGGCACTTCGAAGACACAAAATGCTCTATGCCGGGGAGAGATCACTTCTGACTGTAATTGCCTTGGAACAAAAGAAGGAGAATTGATCTGTTCCAAGAGTAGACCTGCATCTCTTGGCTACTTCAAACATAGTTGGCGTGGCATTCTAAATATTGCCTACTCCACAGTCTAGGTCTTTACACCGATATAGCAACAACGGTAGCTCAGGTACTTTTCACTTCAATGAGAAAGAATGTTTCAGAGTCAAGTCAAGACTTACAGAAATTGCTCGAGTAATCATGAGCTCTCCTGCCAAATGTCGAAGACTATGTCCATCCCTCCCACGTGAACATCGGTCAACCCACTGAGACTTATCTTGCTTTTTGTTTTATGTACAGAAGCAAGTTCATATACATTCTAGAACTGTTGATGCATGCCAATTCCACAAGCTAAACTTCATTTATCCTGTGCACAGGATCTACTTTCCTTCAACCGTAATTAATTTGCTCGTTCCACGAGCGCTGCCAGGACTTAAACCAACTCTTGATCACACTGATGATTGTCTCGAAGAAGTCAACATGCTCGTCTCAATACAGTCTTCTCTGCAGGTCTTTGCCAACACTATCTGTACGTGATTATCTCCTCATTGAGTACATGGCCTACTTCGTGAGTTAGCCTCATGTAATATGGCCAAATTATTTGGCAATCGTGAGTCACCTGTATTTCTGCCGTATTATTCTGCCGTGCTTCTGAAATCTGCTACTTCAGTCACCTTGGCTGATTGCTGCTGATAGCAAACTCTGACGTAGTCACGATCGGTATCCACATAGATTCATCAGATCAGAGGGATCCAGAGCTCCTCGCGAATGACGTCGCTTTCACATCAAAAGCCGCTTTCCCGTTCTATTACTAAACCCTATCCGAATCTCAAACTGAATGTACTCTCACCATGGTGGGCTGAGCTACCTTCTCCCACACAAAAGTGAATCCAGCATCAGCAACTTGCAATTCTTCCTTGATTCTCTGAATTTTGAGATACAGAGTTATATTCTGTGACTGGATTTTGAGCGAAGACATGCCTGGAGGTAGAACTGAATGAACACGAGTCTCTGAGTATTAGCTCCCACGGAAATGATTCGATCACATAACAGAATGAGTACAAACGATTCCGATTCTGAGAACGATGATTGCACAGGAATAATCAATAGACATCATCTCTGCAACGAAAGGATGAATGCAGGTGATTGAGAGCTGACTTTGTTTAAATCGTTTCTCTCCAACACTGACAAAATTCTCCAACATGGACCGGAAAATGATCTTCTGTTAACGGGGACACGAATGATTCATATCAATCGGATGACATAATCCAGCGTAACAAACGCCGCGACGGAGCTGGCAGTGCACACAAACTTTGAGCTCGGATTTAAGGTTAAAGAGCTCCCACTTCGTTCGTTTACGTCTGAGCACCAATGTGCTCCTCTTTCCGTCAGTCGAAACGGATTTGCGAGGTAGATGGGATCACAAAAACAGACTGATCAAGGTGGACACCTAGAGCGGACAAGATCATTGAACCCGGACTTGCAATCTCGGGCTAGCGCTGTTCGATAGAGCTGTAGACCCGGATGCACGCCTCGCGAGAAGCTTGTCTGGTTCAGAGCATGTGCAAGTAGTTCCACAAAATCTCTGGCTAACAGATCCTCGCTTGCCAATTCTTTCTCTCCTTGCGTGAAAAGGAAAACGGGAAAAGGATAAAGTCAATAATTACAAGGCTTCTAAGTTTTATATTATATCGGTACGTTACGGGCCAGCAAGTGGAGACAGGTCTTATGTGCCTAATTACAGAGCTTCTGGTCAGGCACACTCGTAGTAGAGCTATACTGGTCCGCATAGCTTCTAAATGGTCAGTTCGTGACTTATCGTGTCCAGATCAGTCAACAACCCCTGCGAGATCAGCATGCAGAAGGTATTATCACCTCTGCATCATTCCTGACTATATAAGTCCTGCTATGTTCTTAAGCTCTTGGAAATTTTCTCGGTTGTAAACATAGCATCGCTTGCTTCTTAGTTCCTGTGTTTCCACGCAGCAGGTAGAGAACAACTTTGTGCTCCAAAAAAAATTAAAGAAATTGTTAGAGGGTAAGCGTCTGAGGTTTGGCAGCCATGGATATACTCGATGCACTCGATGCATATGAAGATTTTGAAGAAGAGACGAATGTTCGACCTTATGAAGACGATGTCGACTGGGAGTCTATGCTTCCGCCTGATTGGGAGTCGATCGTGCGAAGGGCGTACAGAGGTCCCTTGGAATATGATTCTTTCGAGGATCTCTATAACCAACTTTGCAATCACGTTCTTCTTGGAGACGGCAGAGAAGTGAGTTCCTTCAAACTTCAGGAAATTTTCAGATTCTTTGTAGCATCTATGTCCAATGTCGCCATAATCTCTGATCACGACCATCGAGCTCGGTCGATGGGGCAACCGGATTTGTATTTTTATGAACTAGTTTATCTGTGTAGCTATTTAGGCTTTCCCTTTCGTCAAGGTCCAACTCTACAACATTGACTTCCGTCTGGTGTTTGATTCTATGTATATCGATCAGAACTAGCCGAATGCGTCTCTAAGGAGAGTTTGCGAAGTCCTGGTTCAGGAACTGAACGCAGTGGCTCCGTCAATTGGCCAATATGTCTATGAATTGGTCATACGCGATGAGAGTTTTCCATTAGAGGTACTCATCATGAATTAAGCTCCGCAAATTCTGCGGAGCTTAAATCATGTCACTGCTCCCACCACACCGTGAGAGCACCGTGAGTCGCAGGAACGCCTGTGAGAGGTCTCGATGAGTCTCTGTCCGCAGCAGAGAGCAATTCTGCTTTGAAGGTCAAGAGTTCTGGTCAAGACCTCGAAGCTTCGTGCTTCTGCTTCATGACTGTGGCGTGCAATGATCGGATGTCAGGGATGCTGGATCGAGCGGGAAACGGGAGACTTCATCCGAAGCTACTCGGCAAGATCACTAGATTTCAACGTGGCCAGCATCGGAGGCAACTGGTTGTGGCTCAGAAAAGAAGGCTCAAGGTACAATCCTAGAGAGAAGCGGGTATCTGCACCTCGACATGTTTTAGAAATTAAGGTCGATAACTTGCCCCCTCCTCCCGTCGTGTTCAATTACAGTAATGCGGGACTGTGGAACTGCGCAGGTTTCCGGAAGTTGCGTACTTGGAAAGCAGCCCGTGTTTGGAAGTGACCGGAGAGATTAGGACGAGATTGCCCTGGGGGTCCTATTCTTTCACCTGGGTCCTGCAATTCGATCGAGAAAATACAGCAGGTTTCATGGAAGGGCCCTTAACTCAGCCTGCAATTTTCTTCTTCTCAGATGGTTTCTGGAACCTTCAAACAGACACTGTCTATTTTCCTCTGACTCCAAACACGGCGAGCAGAGTGCGAAGAGGCGGCTGGTTAGAATACGACCATCACATTTTCACTGTAACCGAAGACGAGCATATGCGAGAAAAGGAGCTGAAATTCTCTCTCAGTGAGACGGTTGGTGGATTGATGAAGAGTGGACTGTACCTGGATGGCGTTATCATCCGCCCTGTCCCCTTCGTACCTCGAACGGAAGAAGATCAGCTGTACCGCGGTTTTGAGGGACTCCATGTACGCGAGCCAGGTTACGAATTGGAGCAGGTTGAAGTTGAAGAAGAAGAAGAAAAAGAAGAAGAAGATGATGATGATGATTCGGACCGTGAAGAAACAAATTGGAAAAAACTTTTGCCTCGAGATTACGAAACCATAGTGAGGATAGCAAAAGGAGGCCCATTGCAGTATGATTCACACCGGGAGCTGTACGATCGGCTTTGTGATGGCATCCTCCTCGAAGATGGTAATCGGGTAGGTACCATGGTCGTCGTTCATATATGCACCTCGTCGTACTACTGAAAGCATGACCATCACTTGGATTCTGAACTGTACTGATGCTGACGCTTTGTTCCGACCCAGGGATATTGGCTAGACCGAGGGACTAATGGAGTTTGTCGAAGCTACTCAGCTAGAACGTTGAGCATTACTTGGGGTGATGATCTACAGTACTGGAAATGGGCGGAGGAAAATGGTTCCAGGTACGTAGAATTTTATCCATTTCATTTTTTCAAGAGACACTAGATTCTGTGGGCGGGCACGCAGCTCCTCCCTAACAACCAGCGCTACCAAGGGCGTCTTCAAATTGTTATCACTCTGGTTTAACTTCCTGACGGGGTTGCAGTTGTGGGTTTGTTGACCCAACTTCTTCACGGCAAACGGTGCACACGATTGTTGTGTTTCGTGTCCACATTCCGTGAGAAACAAAGCCGACTGATGTGCCCCTTGACCAATCGTGCAGGTTCGCGGAATCTGCATGTTTACTCCAAGTTGTCTGGTTGGACGTGAAAGGTGAGGTGCGAGTTAGACTTCCCTCTGGACGGTACACGCTGTCATGGGTGCTGAAGTTCGATGAGGAGTTGGAACACAGTTCTTGGAGAAACATTCCTGTCACACTCACGGCGACAGACGGAAAGGTATCGAAAACCCAGTCACTGCACTTTCCCCTGGATGCAGCGACTCGTTCTAGAATGGGGGATGAGAGATGGGAGGAATACGATGCACTGCACTTCAAAGTGGACGATGTGAACGATATGGACGAAGTGACACTCAAATTCTCTTTAGCTGAGACTGCGAGTGGTTCGTGGAAATATGATCTTTTCATTGATGGTGTAGTCATCCGACCAAACTCTGCGCTCGCTTAACGTCAAACTTAGTGACAAGCAGGTTTTCAATCTACAATTTTCAAGGTGAAGACTGGCCCTACCAACCGAAAAATGTTGAACCTAAATAGGCCTCTGTAATCAGGGAAGAAATCTTTACAAACTGGTATTTAAACAGAGACTCAAATAGGTGGCCCACGCTGACACACTTCCAGGCTCCGTGAGGATTTTTGCTTGACGATTTAGTGAAGACAAATTATATACAGAGTGTTATCATATAAAGATGAAATCTTTGGGAAAAAAATCGACATCCTGCGACGCGCAATTTTCCAAGTGTGCTGTTTTTTCGGACTATCTCACTACATGGTTGGTCTTTCTGGCTGGAGTATGCGTGCTAAGATGGATGCTTATGGGACTACCAGTGGCCTTTCCCCCAGTTCGCATTCCTTTGTGAGCAGCACAACGCTTCCTGTCTTTGATAGGCTCATTCAGGCATACGCTGCCGCCGTCTAAGGTCACACCACAAACCAAACCGTCGCTGGGAGCTTCACTGAGCTCCAACCGCTTGCCGTTCGGTGTGGATTTCACCACCAGCACCGGAGGCTCACCTTTGTGGCCACCATAAGACTCGGAGGGAATGCTTGGATTCCTGCCACAATCACCGGTCTTGGATTTCGCAGTTCGTGCGCGTCGTGTCGTCAACTTCGCTCTCAGGCCTTTATGCTCAGAGCACCGTCTGCGCCCTTTCACTGGAGGCTTGGAGCACTTGGACCCATCCGCCATCAGAACACCGCAATGAGAGTCTGCGGAGTTGGGTAAAGCATTGGGCAGTCCATCCTTCGAGCTGGCACGGAAAATGGAAAACCTGGAGCTACCTGCGCTGCCTTCTTCTGATGGCCTTTCCACGGGTACTTTGATGCCAACTTTCCTATGAAAGACCGTCCACTTCTCCCTTCCTGCGCCTAAAAACCTTCCCAAGCACAGACTTTGCTCCAAGTGGTACTGCATGAGCTCCAACCTCGCTAGAATATCGTCGGGTCTCCGAGCCCCATTCAATCCTCGATTCCAGGGATAGTCAAACACGTGGAGAAGCTCCGACTCTACTTTTTCTGCCATCTGCTTGCTCTCTGTTCTCGCCCATCTGAACACGATGGAGTACCCTCTGGAAAACACTTCTGTGAACAAGCGCAGTCCTCGTTCGGTGCTGCCCCCCGTGCTCCCATCGGCTTTGGCTCTCGCCTTTGCCGGAGAAGGAGAAGTCATCCCATCATCGTATTCACAGTGCTCCACGGCTGCACCAGGAACCAGTCGAGCACCTTCCAAGTGAGATCCAGATTGGCCATATTTTTGAAGTCTCTGACGAACATTCTCGGCTTGGCCCAGGTAAACCACGACTACATCTTGCTTTCGGAGTTTGCGAGGCTTTGCTTCTCGAGGAGCTGACAGATTCTGCAATGTCAAACCCAGCTCATACACTCCGGGCCCGAAGTAAGTCGCAGGTAGATTGTGGAGCCGATACCTCTGAGACCCCTCTTCCTCGGCGGCGTGAGTCCTCCAATCCGTCGACCCAACTAGAATTTTCCAATCCGAGAAGAGTTTGTCGTGCTTTACACGGTGGCAATCTTCTCGTTTCAATCTTTCTTTTTCTGCCTTTTGAAATTGTGCTGCTGCCACCTTCCGCGTGGTGAAACCTACGCTGGGAGGTCCCATGCCACTCGTCCGATGTTACCAGGTCAAATCTCTGTGAAAATCCCGGAGGCAGAGCGGAGTGTCAGGAAAGGAGGCCAGCTTCGAGCAAATCCGTGCGCTTCTCTGTGCGTGCTGCGTCTGGGGGCGCGGATGGGGCTAAGCCGAATTCCACCCCGAAATCGACCTGCAGAAATCGCAGTTTCTCTGATCGTCCGAGTCTCCCCGGCCTCAGTTGTCCGATGTCCTAGCGCAGGGTGAAAGAGAACGTGGAGTTCCGACCATCACCCGTGCTCGACTCAGAGAGACAAACCTCGGCCCGAGTGCTTCTCGCGCACTGCCTGAACTTCGAAGTCCCGTGTTCCCTCACCGTCATATACCCCTGCCCTCGACGAGCAATCCTGCGCAGAAGCGGGGTATCCATCGCGCGCACTAGGAAAACCTATGAACCAGAATCCATCGCCCGCACATTACATCACTCGCTTCCATCGCACGCACTACTCCGCACTCTCATCTCCACAGCTCTTCTTGCATTCTTTCCAAGAAAGCGCCGCTCTCCAATTGTGCGTAGGGTAGCATCACGATGCGGGATCGGGATCGAGAGCAAAAGGCAGTCGACGCGGTGCCCCGAGCTCAACTCCTCCTCCTCCTCCTCCATCGCCAGCCAGCTCGCCCTGCAGAAAGCGCCGGACGGGGCACAGAGAGGCCTTCCGAGAACCGACGCTCGCCATTGACTGCAGGTCCGGACGAGACTCGGTCTCTGCATCGTGGCGTGAGTTCGAAGCCTGTTCGAACATAGTGTCGAGGAATATTTGAGCGCGGCGATGCTGAATGGCCGGGAAGTCACGTGAGTACGGTTTTTGGGCCATAGATGGTAAGTACGGAAATCGTTGCCTCTACAAACATCTCTCCGAATTTATTGGAAAATTCAGCTAAACTTTAATTATCCATTTATCTATTTTTTCCCTAAAAATACAGACCAAAAATAAGCTTGGATTTATAATAAAAATAGTTTTTATATCTTATGTATATTCCCATAAACGATGTGTATTAAAACTTTATGCAAATATATGTTTGCATACAATTCAAAATTTCGATTTTAACCATATTATTTTGCGAGGAAAAAATTTTTGATGTATCTTGTGGGACTTGTTTTGAGTTTATTATTGTAGAATTATACACTAATGCAGAGTAGAAATCCATTGAAATTATAAGAAGTGATTTCGAAAAATAAAACAGTATGATAAAGAATCCATGCTCTTTGAGATTATAATAACAATTTGCTAATATTGCATGTTAACACAATGAAGATATGCCTCTATTCTAACTCAGAGGTTCAATATAACGTGAAACATAAATAAAGAAGATGAAAAGGATTATATATATCATCAATGCCGATGCTAGGGATTGTATATTCCTCGATAGTATATTCACCATGAGACCGATCGATTTCTAAATATTGGCAGTACAGTATTCAACATTGACGAAGGCTGAGGGAAGCCGAAAGAAAGAAACGCATTTGGAAGTGCAAATGACAGCTCCAAGATTTATGAGTCATGCGAGTCAAAGCGAGCTTACTGGCAGATGACAATGATTTGCTAAAGGTAAGAGGGAAACCACGTGAGCCGAAACTGATTCATGAAACACACCCGAAAATGCGATGGCCATCAGGTGAGCAAAAAATCTGGGAAGACTACGTGCGAGTTAGATCCCCGATTGCGCGTATACCCTTGGACTTAGTAAATCGCCCGCGCTCAGATGGTGGAGAACAAATTTCTAGCGCTAGCAACAGCCGGCGAGCTGGACTTTCATCATGGACTTCTCATAGAGACCAAAGCATAACCGTCCAAGCAGGAGTGATATTTGGATTCTCGGTCCCTTGCACTGGAATTTTATCCCATGGGATTGGAAAAGGAGTTCTTCGTAAGTAAGTTGTATGATCGACATGACGGTTTGGCAAAATGTAGTGGCATGAGAACACTCAATCTGGACAGGCTGCTGGAGGGAGGTCCTCTCACGGACAATGCTGGACTATGAGGGTACTTCGTTTGATATGAAATCGCTGGATCCTTGCAGGTGAGCAATGTCGACCATCGAGGCAGCAAGCTCTGTCTCTTGTGATAATATCGCTACCTTTATCCTCGCAAATTAAATTTAGTTTAAAAGTTCAATTTTGTGATTTTAAGTAAGCTGTTGGAACCACAACTTCCATGGTTTTTTTACGACGAGTTCTTCCACATGGATCGACGTTGAGGTGTGGCATATCATCTACGTGAATGCGTTATTCTGTGTAATACAAGCTCCGCAAGATAATTGAGATCAAAGTAGTTGGTGTCGGATTGATCCAAAAGACATGCTGGAATTGATGAGAACCAGAGACAAAGCCTATCTCTACTGTGGTCTGTAAGTGAGGGAAAATTAACGACCTACATCAGCAGTGGTGACTAAGTTCGAGATCGAGTTTGTTCGTGACCTGTTTCCAGACAAGGACTCATGTGCAACAAACTCGAATGTGCTTGATGGCAAATGGGTCAGATTTCAGCTGCCCGAATTTCTTAACTACTTTCGTCTTTTATTTCTTAAGGCTACAAACGGAGCAGGTCGAGAGCATCTACTGTGCCACGTTGGGAGCTCAGTTGAATGAATGCTAAGCAATCTACGGACCTACGATGACTTATGCGTGGTCACATTCGTTCCCACACAAAAAGATATTCTAACTACTGGTATGTTTGTTTCTAAGTCTGATCGAGCTTTCCTACACTAATTTGCGAACCGACAATGACGTCGGATTTCGCCTTCTGGAGCTTTGATGACTCCGATGTTGCTCATCTTCTCCATGGCAGCAGAAAATTCACCGAACCAGGGTCTGCGCAGTCCCGAAGCTGCCTGGGTGACAATTTCACGCCCCGTGGCAGAAGTGATGAGCGCTGCATCAGACGTGAAAACTCCCCTATTCTGGAGAACATTGCTGTAGAACTGGCTGTCAAAAGCGTACCCACCCTCAGTTGGGTCCAGTAGAATCTCCCTCATAACCTCCCCGAATGGACATTGCTCCTTCAAGCTCTTTGCATACACGGGATCCAGAGTTGGGTCCACTCCATCAGGTCCGGTGGAGTTGTATAGACGGGCCTCGATAAGCCCGCAGTGCAACTTCCCGATCGTATGGGCACCTGCACACAGAACCCATGATTTATGTTTAAGCCTTCGAGAAAAATGCAGCAGATTTCACTCCAATGTCATTCTGGTAGAAAGCAGTAACTTGAGAAGTGTCTAAGGAGGTGCTGATGTGATACCCACACCACAAATCAAACCGTCGCAACAATGCAGTCAGATTTCAGAAGCTGGGTGGATTCGCACCTGAAAGGATGACCATTTCTTTCTCCGTCATATTCTTCTTGGCGAAAATGCTGACAAGGAAAGGGTAGTCTGCGAAGGGCGGAGGCAAGTTTGAGGGAGTTTCCACTGCGCGCGAGACCAATCCATCTCTGCGACCGGACACGACCCTCCAAGATGGCCCCCCGATCTGTACCCATAGATGATAGAGAGGTCAAGTTTACACCATCACCAGCTGAATGCGCCCTGTCAACTTAATCGTGAATACACATTTGTCCATGGTTTGTTCAAAATCAAGTGTAATTCAGAATCCGACAGCAAACTCTTAACTGTCAGCTGGGCACAAGTGATGAGATTCAAATACAATGACTGTCATTCCAGTCGACGTCATACAAGCAATCAAAGCAAATGATGCATACGCAAGAAAGTCCGCACGCCATTACCGAAAGTGGTGAGTTTATCAAAACTCACACTCATAACAGCTCAATTCTAATGCAAATTGGATAGTAAATTTCTTGCTGGTTAACTGAGTACGTGGACTTTTCTGCTGTCACAGTTAAATACGTACCATGACAATGGAATCTCGAGCAGCAAGAGTGATAATATCAGCGCAAGAGACAACTCCGGGGCAGGCTTTCTCGACAGCTGCCTTAGCAGTGTCAATGATGTCGAAACCTCGTACTGAAAATGCGTTTCCAACTCCATCCTTCTCAGCAAGGTTGGTTTGGTTGGAATCTAGGAGGATAGAAGCATCGCAGCCCTGCAAAAGCAATGTCATTCTTTCGTGTCAATTCTCATCCTGTTGTCACTGCCCTCGAGACCCGTGCGCCATACAGATTATACCGAGAACTTAAGGAAGTATTAGTGCTGGAGCCAATGCTTTGCACATTGAGCTGCCGCTCTCCAACCCTGCTAGGACTTGTTGGCACTCACATCTGCTACCTTGATGTGCTAATTGGAGGAATAAAATCTGCAGAAAGTAGGTAGATGGCAAAGAAATCGATGGTATCGAAAGCCGAGCTAGCTTCTAGCATGTGAGACTTTTGGCATTACTGAAATTGACTGCAACAGGAAATCTTTTGACCCCTTCCAACCGGCAAGGCTCATATGTACTGATTCCAGCAATGGGGTCAGTACGTTATAAGTGTCAAGCCTTCATGTAAAGTTCTTCGATTGCAAAGTCAATGGCGGTACGTACTCTGACAAAACAATCGTGGAACTGCAATCGGAGAAGCGCTGCCGGTGTGGTCTTGTCCTTCCATACTGAGGAAAGAACCGTCAAGCCAACGAGCTCCCTTGCAGATGGGCATTCGTTCTTGTAGAAATCAACCGGATCTCTAATTGCATGCCGAAAGTTCTGGTAGTATCCATTATTCCCATCATCCGTGAGTCGACCGTAACTAGGACTGACAAAAAGAGCAAAATAAATGACCAGGGCTGTAGTTGCACGCTTGAAGAGGGTTGTTGCCATCTCTAACTCTAAAAACTATCACGATAGAAAGCCGAAACTCAAGTCACTGATAGCTCCCTGGTACCTCAGAAGCATTCGACGTCAGTTTTGACGTCGATGATGTTCCAAGGTGCAGAAGCTAAACACACAATATTACTCCTTCCTAGCCTCGGCCTTCATAGATATCATCCCAAGTCCCTGGACAAGACCACCTTGAGAGCTCCATATCATTGGCCTTATCCTTCAGGTCCCACCTGATGCACAATTCAGCCCGTCGCCTCGTTCCCAAATTCTCACTTTCATGTACAGAAGCGCGATCAGAGCCAACGCGCGCGGCGGAGCTTGCTGTCATCATCAGCAGTACTGGACCTGGATGCAAGATGACTCGGTAAAATGGCAGTCAAAGTCGACCTTCACATTCCTCAGTTGACTGTACTCGTATTTCATGCATCGTCAATTCATATCGCTGCTTGATTGTGATCGGTCCTCAGGTAGATTCCATGCATGTGAGTGGGCAACAATCTTTGTACAGAGTCCATATGAACATGAACTGGATTGCAGAACCACGTGCATGAAGTTCCTTCCTTCAGAATCATAACCTCACCTCTGTCTTCCTCTATCTAACCTATAATTAGAGGTCTGACCTGACTCCCTGAGGCGATACACACGTCCCCTGAAATGTCGAAGATGGTGGGTCAGTTAATTCTTGTTCCTTGGAGAACCGAAACATTTTTTCCCAATGCCAGCTATCACTGGAGCTGCTGAGAACTGTTCGTCCTTTCTCATTCTGTACGTTCTTTCCTCTTTCTGGTGCAAGAGGAGTCGCTACAGCAATATCCAGGTGAGCCTGGAGAAACGTCTACGATTTGGACTTCACACTTTCAGTTTGTCTATCAGTTTTAGTTTCAGTTTGGCCTTCTTTCGAGGTTGAATCCACTTTCGTCATGGTATAGGTTTGATTGGTCCCCAAGGCATGGAAAGCTTGATGGACACACCAAAAGGAAACTGCTACAGCTGCGAGATTTTTTATAACAATGCAGATGTTACCCATGGGGGTGCAACTGAGCACTTCAGAACGTGATAGTGCTGAAAATGTTGATCTTGCCATCTTTCCGGAAGTTGAGAGAACAAGCAGACGCCTGCTTGTAGGTAACATGATATGAAAAAGAATATAATCTCTCCATATCAAGCGTTGTATATTTCGGATCCTCGGTCTACGTGGGAGCTCGAACAGATAAGGCTCCACAGCATTCACCTGCTATACTACGTCTGCCTGGTCTAGCTTCACGAGTTTTGTGACGTAGTTTCTACAACAAATCGCGAATAGTGGATGGGGCCTGAATCCTATGCACAACTTCTGGGAATTCGCTGCCCTTTTTAACCGGGCCAGGCACAGCTGTAATCACAATGATTTCTTAATATTCGCATCTCGTTCTAAATCTCGACTCAGATTCCAAGCTGCTTAGAAGACAGTTTTAAAAAAAGCTTGATTCTATACACTATTGCATGCATAGCTAGCACACCACTAGCGAGGAAGGTGCTCTGTGTCCCTTCGAGACTTTCAAGAGGAATTAGTCTTAGAACGAAGAGTTGACTGGAAGTAATGTGCCACTGCAATCCTCCAAGAGCAGCATTCAGACAAGCAACGGCCAACAAATTGGGACTGGATGTGCCCGGATCGTAGAGTCAATGAAGACAGCTCCAGCGATCTATTCTGTCACTGGTTGTATGCTTCATCTGAAGTTAAATTTCATCAAATAGAGAAGTATTGTCAAGCTTCTCTATGTAGCATGTACCATTTTCCTTCGCAACTGAATGGAGCTGAATTGGAAAACTAGAATCGTCATCAACAGCTTCAAGCAGATGTGAGTTACATATTAGTTTTTATCAGAGCATGTAAATTACATCATGTACATCTAGTTTGTAACCGTTTCAAGATGAAGGTCAGGTTAGCATCCTGTTGTGACGTCAATCTGCATGGGCTTTTAGATAGAGAGAAACTTTCTAACTTGAGTTTCACAAATCACCAAATGATATACCACTTGATTCATTAAGGTGAACAATGAAGCTTGTGACATAAATGTTCTCATTGAACTCCAGTTTGAAGATTGCAAGCTTTTGCTCGACGGTCTGATTGTTCCTGAATGGTACAACAATGTCTATACTCTGGACCATATTCCCGGCTCAGAAAATCATGATAGCTAGCCACAATCGTAAGATTAGGTGGGGTTTTTCAAACAAGATCAATTTATGTTTGTGGTTTCAGTCGATCAAATACGCTTTAGAAGTTGGATAAAGAAAATTCTGAGCTTGCTTGAAAACCATGTTTGGCATACAGTTTCTGAAAGACTTAGCAGTTTAGAAAAAGCTCTATACTATCACACATCTTAGAAGCCCCGTCTACATTTGTCATGGTATCACTATCAAAAGAAGAAAATGGTGATTGTTGAGGTCAAAGAAAGTCACCATCTTCATCAACTCACAGATATGAGTAGAATGCAATGCAAATATGGAGTGGACATAGTGAGAAAATGAAGGAATAGACATTTGCCATCCATCTCTGATGTAAAATCTGTTTTGTGAATGATGTATTGTACATATGTTCACAAATCAAGAGATTTTCTTTAATTTTCGTAAGGTGAATTTCGTTGGAATAATTGATAGAGTCATTCTCGTAAAAAGTATCACCTAATCAACAAGAGTAATCTTCCTGGTTTCCGTGAAAGTACAAGAACCTAAAATTGCCATACGTGATAAGAAAGAATTGAAAAATCATGAGGAAAAAGACTTCATCTCAATTTGAAAAAATTGAAGTTGCATTCTCAGATCGATTCATATCATTTCTACCAAACCATGTGAAACTTTAATGTCAGATTATAATTTATGGTATATTAATGTTATGAACAGTTTTAAAAGTTTCAGAGCAAAGATTGTGCAAAGATTCATAGATGATTTGTATATCTATGAAAAAAAGAATTATACATTAAAATTTGTTATGGTTGGATAAAGTAAAGTTCATATCAAATACAAACGATAATAATTTTGAATATAAGTAAAACGATGTGTTTAGTTAACCAAATGAAATCTTGTGATTAAAAAATGTATTAGATTATAGATTAGATTTATAGATTAACTCATTAGTTCATAAATCCATTCTTTAATTTCTTTATGACTTAATCAATAAATTTAAGTGTCTTGAATAAATTATGATGTTATGAAATCGTAAATAAATGCAAAATACAAGTTGACCATGTATCTTACATTTCTAACATAAAACCATTATTTTCTTTTAATCTAGAAAATATAATTGCATTTGAGATTTTCTATGTTATTCATTTCAAAATTCTGTCAGCTGCATAATCACTAGTAGTTATCTCATATTTCACACTGTGCGAATATTAAATTATTGGTCTTGACCCTGCCTTGATGTCCAACTAACCCATGCTCGACTGTTTGATCGAGCATTGATAATTGATCGACAATTATCGGATTCGGTTACTGGAAGCTATGTACAGTGAATGTGCTTCCACTGAGAGATGAACTCAGAACCTACCGCTTACTGAACGGGTGCTCTAGCCAACTGAGCTATAGAAGCTCACATTATTATATAGAAGGAATCATTTTTGGTTAATATTTGCTATAAATGTTGAGTCCATTTGACAGTGATCTAGTTTGAGATTTGGTTTTGACAACTTCAATATGTCAAACGGAACATATCCGATAATTTATTCTCCGTACCAACCTTGGTTTCAAAATGAAGAATTCATAATGAATAAAATATTGTATATGAATATCAATTCATTTTTAAAATATAAATAATGATGACTAACATAAAAATAATATTTAATACATATCAATATATATAATTCCTTGCTTCTTCTCCGTACTAACCTTTGTTTCAATACTAAGAATTCTTAATGAATGAACCATTGTCCAGATATATTTAATTTTGGTCAAAGATTATTCAAAAATTGTAAATGGATGTCACTTCATTTTTAAGATTTTATAAATTTAAAAAAGTGATGACTAAATATAACATTTAATACAGATCAATACATGATGGTTGAAGAAAAATATTTAATTATCATTTTTCAAACCTTAACTTTCATAAACATATCATATGAAAAAAAGATAGAATGACGTTCAACAGATGTTAAATGTGAAAATAATAGATATCAATGATATTTGGATTACAAAATGGAATATCGTTTATCATTGTGCATTTAAATCTTCAACATCTATAAAATCTATAATTTATATCATAAAATTAAAACATTTACAACAATTTTATGTGTTTTGAAATAATTCAAACAAAAATTTAGCATCATCATGATCACAAAACTAATCATAAATACAAATTTTACTTATGTCAAGTTTAAACATAAAACAATTGGATATAATATTTATCCTGCTCAGAAATTTTTGATTTGAAATAAAATCATTGATATTATTTTTGTCCGACAATTTAAAAAATCAATAGATGAAATTTAGTCATTTGATGAAAAATTTAAAAATTAATTATCACATTTCTTGAGCTAAGATTTAATTTAATGAATTTATTGCATGATTACTTTGAAAAATTGGATCCAAAAATATTATTGAAAAATAAACCAAATATTTAAAATCATAAATAATTAGGAATGAATGTATACCATAGGAATTTTTTATAAAATACACATTTGAAAATGTTGTAAATTTGTCACAATTTTTGAAAAAAAATATATATAAGAATAAGATTGTTATATTTATGAGATAGTCAATCAACCTGAAGTTAGTAATAATAGGTAATAATTGTAAGGTAAAATTAAATTAAAACCCTGGATAAAATTAAATCATTAAGATTTAAAATAAAATTTTCAAGTATTGAAGTCGTCATAGGTGTTAATTCATGTCTTAGCAATCGTTGGTCACAATTTGTGATAGTCATTGTAACCCGTCTAATGATAAGTTATACAATTTTATATTTCAAGCATACTCAATTCACTTAGAAGTATTCATAAATTTCAACTTTGTGATTAAATTCATAATCACTCTATAAGTTTGTATTCGTCTATATTTTTTAATTCATCCTTCCTCTTTAAGTGCAGATGTGAAACATCACTTTATGCTCAAAATAATTTTATAATTTTAATAAAATTCAATCCAAAAAACAAATTAAAAAATATGAATATATAATCACTCATTAAATTATTATTTTAAAAGAAATTACATTATTAAATAATATTTTTATATAATTCATAATTGAATTATATCATAATTATAATTATGATTATTCATTTAGGAAACATTCCAACTTTCATCATGGATGCAAAAAATGTTTCAAATTTTGTTAAATTTAAAAAAAAAAAATCATAATCGCAAAAAGATGTTGTTTATAGAATCTATAGTCAAATAATTTACAGATTCTAACAAACAAGCTTCCTTTTATTCAAATTATAAAATAATAATGTATATAATTTTTTGAGATGAAATTAGTAAATATGATTTTAGGGATTTTTTTTAGTGCTTTTTGTTTTATTTTATAAATTTATAAAATTTGGATATTATAAGATATAAAATTTTTAAAAAAAATTGTAGCACAAAACAAAATTCTTGTGTCTGATAAATATAAAGTCCTATGTATATATATTGGATGTATACATGGATTGTTTAAATTTATATTTCAAAAGGTTTTCATTTGATTTGATTTATCATTTGATACTAAACATGCAATATTCATCATTCAACTTATTGTTTATTGAACTAAATTTTATAAAATAAGATTAGATTTTTATTTTGAAAAATATATGCATGATATTATATGAAATAAAATTTTGTATACAATCATCAACTTGTTGCCTATATGTTTATAAAATTTCATATTATATATATACACACATAGACATCCATCCATGCATACATATTCTAAAGTAAATATGAAAATTTCTAGATATGTGTAACATGACTCAATGCAATGATTTAAACAAATGTATAGATAATCTCAATTTTATTTTACAAAATTATATTACATAGCATCTGTTGATTCAAATGTCTTTTATTACACTATTTTCCGTACTTATATCTGATCTAGAAGTAAAGATGAATAGTGTAAGCTAAGCTTATAAGATAGAATTAACAATTTTATAAAAAACGGAAATTTAATGAGTTAATAAGTTCTATGTGTATATAATAAGAGTATATGTTTGCAATGTTGAATAGCATATGTATTATTTCTATGAGATTTTTTGATGAATATCGATCAATCCAAATTAGAAAAGACATGCTACAATCTCCGTATATCAAGTTTCTCATGTTTGAATTTTATTCGCTAATATATAATATTCCTATATCTTCTTTCTGTGTTGCCTTATGCGAAATAACAAAAATCTATCATTAATGTGTTGAGATTATTGCGCTATCTAAACGTTTCAAGAATTTACAATTTAAATTGAACTCGTATCAAAAGATTTGATACAAGTTCAATTTAAATTGTAAATTCTTGAAACAAGTATCTCTATAGGGATTCTTTTTTTCGAGAGAAGAAAAGTCATTTTTTTCCTTTGATATTAGATATTTCTCATTCACACTGGATCATGAGAGTTACATTTCATTGTAAAGCTTAGACTTTAAATATTTTACTTCAAAAATATTCTATTCATATTGTATTTAAATTAAGTAATTATATGTAAATATATATAAATTAAATTTATTTAAATTTAAAATTTTCACATAAAAAACGTGATAATATTTTCAAATAATTGTCATCATTGAAGAATTCCGAAATATTTAATTTATTTTATATATATTTCATCTGTTTTCAGTTCCTAAATAAACTGTGCATGATATATTGTGTAAAAATGGACATTTGTTTCCTTTTGACCTTCAAAGACTTGTGGTGAAAAGGATTACGGACCACAACATTTTAAATGATCAAAATCTCCAAATCCGATGATTACTAAAATTAGTTCCATTCGGATGGTCCAAAAATTTAAGGAGATGAGAAAGATTACTCTCAAAAGTTTGTCCTCAAACTGATACGATCAAGAAAAATCAGGAGGACGCAGTTGTTCTTCCACTGCGCCAAACGAGATTCGACCTCAGAGTTCCCTTTCTTAGATACAAGAGCGGCAGCGGAATCGGAAGCGTGCAGCGCAGGGCAGTCCCGGAGCCGACGGAGAGTCACCCGTCCCGCTGACCCGCCGATGGGCTAGATCGACGACGCTCGTCGAGCGGCCGGCTCCGGAACTAGAGCTGCCGGAGTTGCGGCAGCGGCCGCAGCGGACTGGAACATCCGGAGCCTTCGGTGCTTAAAATAACGGAAATGGCGATGCGGTTGCTCGAGCGCACAGTTACGGTGGCGGATTGCCGAAGGAGCGAGGTTTGGAACGGAGATTTAGGGTTCTAAAGCAATTCCCTCGTGCAAACCCTCGATTCCTTCCGGTGGAGGAAGACACGAAGCAGGGCAAGGTCCGGAGAGGACTCGTACTCCGTCGGAGATGCTAATCGTCGAGGAATTTTGACGTGCACGTCTGGCTGTGCGGAGGGTGCCTAGCAGACGTAACCGTGTTGGATCCGTGACGTTTTTGGATGCTCGAGGCGCCCGGGGTCCTTCGTGTTCGAGTAGTTTCGAGAGCCGGATGTGTATGAGGGCGCGCTCGTGAGCGACTCGGTGGGGAAAAATGGGAAAGAAGAAGAAAAAGTCGTTCAAGGTGTGGTGTTTCTATTGCGAGAGGGAGTTCGAGGACGAGAAAATTTTAATTCAGCATCAGAAGGCCAAGCACTTCAAGTGCCATGTCTGCCACAAGAAGTTGTCGACGGCCGGTGGCATGGTGGTGCACGTTCTCCAAGTCCACAAGGAGTCTATCACGAAGTAAGACCATTTTCTCTGAATTCGTTTTGTACTGTTTGCGCCGCAGAATGATTTGAAAGTTGTGGATTGTAGTGTGCGACGGTCTGTGTATTGCGTACTGGATTTTTTGGTATTTCTGTGTCCACTTCGAAAATCAGTTACAGGCGAGTCAAGATTCTCGAAGTAGGGGACCGCTCTCGTGAAGCATTCGCCACAGAATACGACCGCTGCAGGGTTCGAGTGATAGCCAAAATAAATTGTAAACGTTACTTCGTCCGGAAGATTAATTGTCAGAGATGTGTTCGACTACAGTTCGGGAGCTTCTGTGAGGCTTACATGATAGTATTGCTTGTTAATTTCATTACACATGAAATTTGAGGGGCACGTGAAGATAACGGGCTTGTCCAAGGTGGTGATTGTGATATGCAGTGGAACAGTACAGCTCAATTTTTAAATCTAGGAAGCTTTGTAGCTGTTTTTGAAGCCATGAGACAATTTTGCTTCAGATTTTTGAAAAAAGTCGCGTCTTGGATTGGTTGTTGACAGCAAGCAGTGTCGCATTTCATCAGGCAGAATCACTAAGGTCGCCGTTGACAAGAACTTAGATAAATAGTTTCTTCGTTGTAGGTGACTGACAAGAGTTTGATCCAGGTTAAATCTTACATGTGATTTTTTACGCTTTGGATTGTATTCTCAATTCACTCAGTTCTTGCATCATCCACTAGATTGTCTTACCCACAGCTCAGCATATGACAGTGTCACAGATGAATGCATGACTGAAAAATTGTCAAGGCCTAATTTTCAAGGAGGCCTGAACACACTGACTGATTGCCACTAATTTCATTAGCCGTACTCACTTGAAAATTCACCTAGAATCAGTGTGTTAAAAATGTACTGTGATTGTGCTGAATATCTATACACTGAGCCTTAGAAACCCCAGGTTCACAGGTACGGTCACCAGTAATTCTTAAGGTGTTGATTTGTTTTCGTCCCGTACACCACAGGGATTTTTTCCTCGATAGAATCGAAAGCACGGTCGGTAAGTAGGGTAGTAGCAGCTGCTAATGTGATTGGTTGTTGATGCGCTCCTTGATTTGGGATGACTTTTAAGATCGTAGTGTAGAAGAGCAGGAAAGTAAAATTTCATTAAAGGCATGGTATTGGCGAGAAGTTCCCTATATCCAAGAAGCTTCTTCTGGACGGATGTCTATGCTTATGCTTCTGCTCCTCCTGCTCTGCGTGCATTTTGTTACTCCAGTGAGAAAAATAATTTGACAACTGGAAGTGAATTGCACCTCTTGGAATACTACGGTAGAGAAGTTGAAATTGAGACATTCAGTGGGCTTTCTTCGATCGACCCAGCTGGCCTTTAGTGTGTTTTTGAATTCACGTATGTCAAATAAGTCGTGGATGCTATGAGTTGATGGCCAGCTGGTGTTGGTTCAGATCTTTCTAGACATATAAATGCCTGGGCTTTGATTTCCTAATTTTTAAACCAGTCACAGGACTTTCAGTGTAGTCAATAACTTCAACACAATACTTTCTTTGCTTTAGTGTTCGACTTCGTAAAGTATGTAACCGTCTCCACTGTAGCTGGATACCTGTGTCCGCCACTTCCGAAACTTCGTACTTATTTTTCTGTTTGCGTTACAATTAGGGTTCCAAATGCGAAACCGGAGAGGGAGTCAACGGAACCTGAAATATTTGGCATGGAGGGTATCCCCCCCGAGATTCTAGCTGCGCATGACGGGGACCAAGGTGGGCTGGATGGTATGGAAATCAATGGCCTTTTTTTTTGTCAGTCATTCTGCAATATCATCATCTACTGAGTTCGTGTTCTACAGATATTGTTTGTGCTTTGGCAGCAACACTAGTATGTACTTCACAAATCTCAAGGTTCTACTGAGGTTCTTATCCTGCGCCTGTTCAAATTTTGTCTTTGAGTTGAGAGGTGGTTCCTTCCTCTATCACAGTTGTGAGGAACTATTGGGATTGGAACAGTGTCAAGGGGTCCAGTTTTTAGTACGTTAAGTCAAAACCTTTCGCTCCTTTTGTATCAATTAGTATGATTTTTAATGTCCTCTCGGAGCCTCCGGCTCACGCAGACGATGAAAAGCCTGCAAAGGTTGCGAGGGTGGAGATTCCCCCCTCTTCGCCATTTGGTGGCTTAGTAATGGGACCGATTGCTCTCGGTATGGCCTCCCAACCGATGTATTCTCCAATGCCGCCTGTGTAAGTATCTCTTCTTATATCCCTTACTACCGTTGCCTTTTTGTGTTCGTGGTGTATGTGGCCGACCAGGTGTGGGATGCTTGGTTTCATTCAAGGTATGTAGGACATATCTTCTGAAATGGTATAAGCCATTGTTTCCTGCTGCCCATTTTGTGAGGTCAAGGTCTGGAAAGCAGGACAGGCTGGAAACGTGCATTTTTTGTGAATTTTTTCTCGTAATTGAGCTTTCTCTTGTACATGAGATTCAAGGATGGAAGCTTTTCCTGTGTCCAAAGTGTTCTTCCTTCGGACTTTGGTTCAGGCTAGGATTTCCCCCAGATCCAAATTTTATAGTTTATTCTCGCAGAGATAAGCACATCACACTTGTTTTGATGCTTGTGGACTCTTGCTTCGTCTTTCAAAGTGAAGCAGAGAACGTTGCATCTTTCTGGTGATTCACATGATTTATTAAGGCGGCCTAGCCCATTTGAAGTGTTAGTAGGTCTGATCAGTTTCGTAATGTGCTTTATACCAGTGGGGAGTTTGACTGGATAGCACGCATCTGTTTATTGATTTTCTCCTTCATTGCATTGTGATATTTTGATGTATTAAGTTCAAATAAGTTAGAAAATATGACTCTGTTGTGCATTGCAGATATATGTCCCAACAACCCAGTGGCCCACGACCTCCTTCTTGGCCACCTCAACCGCCGAACTCACATGGGTGGAACCATATGCACCCTGGACAACCCCCAATGCACCCACCACGACCCCCTCCTCCACCACAACCGCTGTTTCCAATACAGGCTCCCAATCCACCTTCTATGTCATCAGCCTCTGCGCTACCACCAGCGCAGCCATTATTTCCTATTCGACCAGCTGCCCCCCCATCTTCGGCTCCTCCTTCGCAGCCTTTATTTCCTGTCAATGGTACGCCATCCACTGGTTCTTCTTCTTCGTCATCATCAGTTGGTACGTCGTCTAGCGGAGTTCCTTTGAGGAGCCCAGGAAATGGGCAGACTGCGGTGGACAGCACTAGTGGAGCTGGGTCCTTACCAGGAGGTCAGAGTTCAGTCACATCAGCAACTATGGTGGGACGCCCTCCTTCCTTACCTTTTGGAGGTAAGAAACACCCATTCTCGGTATCTGTTTTAATATTTCGCATCGTCAATTCACTCCCCATTGTTGTATTTTGCCAAGATGTGAGTAGTAGCGTGTGTCAAGAGTTCCACATTTGGATTCTGCGCCATGCGGTCCGTTTCTCTATGTAATAGTTTGCTTCAAGCTTATTAGCTTTGTCTCGATGTATGACAGGAGTTCCGAATTTACCCCCCTCAGGAAGTCACATGTACGCATCTGCCCCAAGCACAGGAGGTCCGTCCATTGGCCCACCTCCAGTTATATCAAACAAACCTCCCGGTCCTCCAGGCTTGACCAACGAGGTCTACCTTGTCTGGGATGACGAGATTTTGTCCATGGTAAGGTGTCTTTGACAAAACTAAATGGATCCGATTTTTGCTTTTATTTCATTCACCAGCTCCTTCGTATACATCTTTTCTTATCGTAGCAAATGAATATGGCGTGCTTGGCACATCTGGCTTTCTATTCATCAACACTTCAAACACATGAGGAGACACCAAACTGTTCAGGACATTTATATTCCAGTGGACTTTTCAGACTTTCTATTTTAGTCTTTGTGCAGTTGAAGCAGAGTAGATATAATTCACTAGTTTTACAAGCAGCCTTCACCCTCAGGCCATCTTACAGGCTCTCAACTTTCAGCATTTTCTCATGTTGAGAAATGTCTTTTACCGCGTACTGTGTTGAACTCTAATGGTCATACCGACGGCTCACAATATTCTATTTACTATCATTCTACGGTGCCGATGCTTCCTCTTATTGAGAATTGTACGATATCTGTCGTGCAGGAGGAGAGAAGACTGTCTTTACCTCAGTATCAGGTGCTTGATGAAACCTCACAGGTAAGCACCAAACTTGACGTTGATTGATAGGTTGACGACGGCTGGCAAAAGATGGTGTGTACATGAACTCTCTGCAAAATGTTTATGAAAGTGCTAGAGGATTATAGCTCAGAATGACTAAGTACAGGAGACGACATGTACTTGACGAATCCCGACGGCATCAGTAAAAAACTTGATTCGGCCAATGCCGGGAGTGTGTCCTGGTTTAGGGTTAAGCTTTCATTCGGGGGCAAGCATGTCTGTTAGCTCTTCTTGGTCATGGTTTGGTAGTGGTTGCCAGCTTCTGAAGCTTCCCTACTTGGTGGTATTTATCACTTGTATTGGAGCACAAGAGTAGCCTGCAGTCATTGCAGTGAATCTGAAATGATAGTGCGTTAAGTCGCTACATATGGACACTTTAATGCTGTTTCGTTCAAGCTCGTTAGGTGTTTCAAGGATCTGCTGGGCCATGTTTGCATTCCACATTGAAAGAGGCAGCCAAGGTTTGGTACTTATTAGCACTAATTCTGGTCAGAGGTCAGTGGTTCTACCCTTGGCCTTTGGATTCAAAATTTCGTGCTGCTATAAGACGAAAACACTAGGGAGCACTAGTGTGAGAAAGAAGTTGACGATTTGTTTGCTCTCAGATGAATACGATTGAAGCAGCATTTGACAGAAGAATTTTGGAGGGCAGACTTGCCGGGCGGATGGGATTCCGTGTGTAAAAGGTACACTATATTCAGCTTGCACTTCGAGAGTATTGTTGGCTACCTGGGTGGAGTCGGTGACTTGTGGGAGCATTACACAGTTTACAGAGGCATAGAATTGATCGTTCATATATTGCTCGGGTGCTGTAATGCTCTGCTTGAGTTGCCTCAGAACATCAAGAGATGCAGATTTTCTCGCTCGTCATGCATGAGTTTCTGCCTATCTTGTATCGGCAACAACGTACGTTTTATCGCTCTTGAAAGTGAAACAGGGAGAAATCGATTGGCCTCGTTGCGCCGTCACAGGTCATACTTAAAAAAATCCTCGAAGTTTTGATGGTTATGCTTTGGAGGCGACAGACTTATACCACAGGTGATAGCTACAATTGATGACTCTGTCGAGAATTGTGTACAATGGCTAGGTAACAATTGCCCTAAAATGTGGGTGTGGCCTAATTCATGGTAGATTCTACAGCCCCCAGAGCCTGGGGTATACAAGACTTCTAACGTCGAACGGGAACACAGTCACTTCATTAGATGCGGGCAGAGGCGCAAGTAGTGGAAGTCTAGGTTCACAGGGTTGTAGTGATAAGTTGTCATACGGGCTTTGGCCCTTGGGGATCTTTGTAGCTGGCACTTGCGTCACGCCCTTACCGCCTGAATTATTTGAAGGCTAAAGGAAAAAGAATCTTGTTCGGAAGCTGTGAATTGATCCAATGTATGAAAACACGTTCATTATATGGACCTTATACGTCCTCGAGCTAATTGCTCGTGAGAGTGTTGAGCCTTTGTTCATTACAAATTCTGCGGTTCTCAATCCGGTCGCTCTCTCTACTATTTCAGAACTAAGGTTCGAAGCGAAGTTGAATCGTTGGCTCAGTTTGGGATATGGAAGAACGGTGTTGTAAGAAATCATAACTGAGCCTGAAATGGAGATTGGCCTAAATAATCAAGAAAGTGGTGTACAATGTTCGATCTGCATTTACCCTGCCTGTTCTGTTACATGAGGGTAATTTTAGTACCCAATGTTGTTCTGAGTGTAAACCGAGTATGACCAATATAACTCTTGTGAAAAATAATGTAACTGAGGAGTAAGTGCATCATATTGTGAGATCATTGTAGGTCAGCTTCATTTATCTCCAAGTGTTGTGAACTATATTAATTCATTTGCTTGAAGCTTGTGGAATGCACTCTAAAATTGAAATGAAACAACGTTTCAGAGGTAGGAACTGAATTTTCAATCAGCACAATTCCTAAGGCGGTGGGACGCACATCATATTATCACAAGCGATATTGGCGGTTGAAAGCAAGTGTCCCTAGAGGAAACAATGTTTTATTGGTACTAGATTTTGCAACTTGCCATTTCAAAACTGGATAAATGACATGATGCTTTAAGCACAAATGTGTCAAAACTATTAATCCACAAGTTCTGCACTCCACACACTGAAACTTACTTTGTTATTCTCTCTCAAAATAATTTGATGAAATCACTAAAAAACTTGGACACCCCATGTTTGAACAGTGTATTTTGGTGTCTACATAAGTTTATTATGAATCAAATACAAGAAGTAAAGAAATATGTTATTAGTTGATGTGAAAAAATATGATTCGAAATGTTATTCACAACATAATACAACGTAAGACATAATTTTCATAAAAAAATAAAAACTGCCATCAGGAAAACATCATTGAAAAAAGCAGATCAATTTAATAATCAGTAAATTACTGCAACAAAAACTATAAAATCTACTAAAATTTCAATTTATTTAGATAATCGGATTGAAATAATCTAAACTTTTACAAATATATATGAATATAAACTTGCAATTTTATCCAAGCTTGCAAGCTTATTATATCTATTAGATATAATAATCCAAGCTTAATTCATAATCCAAGCTTATTATATCTATTTTTTTGGGGATAGATATAAAAATTGTTAAAAATATGTGTCTGGTTGTATAACATAAACTACTAATTTGAAATAATTTGTGCATGTATATATATGTATCTATGTAAATAAAAAAAATAAAATTCAGTGCTTTGGAATCAGTTTTAGCATTAAGAACTAAAATTTAAATTTCATTCATATGTAAATTCACATAATTTTTACTTCAATGTTTAAAAAATAAGAAATATGAAAAGTTTTTTAATATTCCAGAAATCAATTATTTTCGTAGTTTTTGAAATTTTCTTTGGGTAAATATAAGAGCTTACATAATTATATCAAAAAATTAACTTCTTTATTGTTTAAAATCTGAAATAAAAAATGATGAAAATTTTTTTATTTATTGATGTCTATTATTTTTTTCATTTACTTGTATGTCTTTAATAATATTTATTTCAATAAATATTATAGGATATTAATATTTATATAAATATAAAATCACAATTAAAATTATGATTCTCATAATTTTTTTATATTCTAATTTTAAATGTATTATATGTAACACAATGAATGATTATTCTAAAATCATTGAATTTATTGATGAGAACAATTAGAGACTATAAAAGAGAGCGATTAAAATCATGTGCATGCCAGGTAATTTAACTAACAAAAAGCCAATGAATTGAAAATAAGGTTTAAATTTGATATTTAACGCCGTTTGTAGAAATTTATGAGTAAATTCTATAATGATAATGGTAATAAGTATATATTATTTGAATTTTTACAACCCATTATATAGTTAAATTTTTTTTCAATAGTATAAGCTGTTATTATCCTAAGATGAGCTTAATATCATTTTTAATCAAGCATATACATTTAAGTGTTTGCAATTAGTTCATGACCAAGATATAAAATGCATCAACTTATGATCAAATTAATAAAATTTTCTATGTTGTCATTCTTTGACAAAATTCGTTAATCTTGGAAATTTCATTTTATTTTAAAATGCAATTTAATCTTTTGTGATAATTTAATCTTATCACAAACTTAAAATTGTCATAAGATAATGCCTATCTTATCACAATGAAAAATATAGATTTTTTTGAATTTTTTGTTAAGTATTAAAATAAAAATAAAACATTAATTATAATTCACAATTTTCGAAAATTTCTTTAAAATTTTTTCATTATTAGGAAATATACCATGAATGTATCATATAATTTTAAGATAAATAGTTTTATTTTGTAATTGATATTGTAGTTTTTTTTTTAAAATTTATGTTTTCTTTAGTTGTTAAAAATAATTAGCCTGAATATAAACTCAACTGAATCACATTTTTTATATTTTAATTCTCTCTTTGTAACATTTGATCTATTTACATGATTTCTAACACCCTAAATTTCACATGATTTTCAAATAAATATCAAAGGAACTTCAATATTTTTTCATCACTCTTCAGCTTAGAGCTATTGATTTGGGATTGATGTAAATTTTTGGTAGACTTGTGGCTTTTATAAAATTACTGTCTTATGCATTGCTTCAATTCTCAAATTGTGTATTAGTAATATCTTGAAGATGACTTAAAAAACTTGAAGATGTTTACACACCCTACAAATTTGAGACACCTGAATCAATAAAAAGGCATTACTTCAAATTATTGTCATGAGAATGACAATAGTTTAAACTCATGTATTCTCACCACAGTTTCTATTTGGAGATAATAGGTTATAGATATTTATGAATACCATACTAGTCAATACATTTGATCATATCAACTGTATTTTGGATGAGATCATGTTGTCAAAATAACAATTTGAAAGTGTTTAATATAATTTCGTAATGTACATTTATAACATTTAAAATAAATTTCAAAATAATCTTGACGTAAGATCCATGTATTATCATGTTCTAGTTCACATGCGCATGTTGTGGATGACATTATGCATGTAACCAAAATGGTCCAAGAAGATATATTTTTTAGTAGAATTTTATGAGTAAATTCAAAGTCATCTTGCAGAGATAAAGTTTGATATATTAGAAAGTTAAATCTAGAAAGTTTGTACTGTACACAATGATGGTATTTAAATCCTCCCTGGTTCTGGGTTTTATTTTTTGAAAGTGGATGTCTGAAAAGACTAAGGTGGGAGACAAAAGTATAAAAATGTACTCTATGTGTAGGCCCCACCGAGATTCGAACTCGGGCTCTTGGATTCAAAGGTCCAATGTCGTAACCACTAGACTATGGGGCCACCTGTGAATCTGAGAAATGATTGTCATTATGATTGAATGTCTAATAATCATCATACAAGAGTACGATGATAATTACTCTAGTATTTATTATCAACATTAGGGTCTCCATCGTCTACTTATGTACGGAAAAAAAAGATTTGGGTTACGTTTTCATGAGTTCCGTGTTTATGATTTAGAGTTTTAATGTAATGTTTTGTTTTTTCTCTTCCAAATCTTTCACTAATTTGAGCTTGAGATTCCGCAGGTTTAAGATCTGATAGAACCAATTTCTCTTGTAGGTTCGGTTATAGGTTATTCGAGATTGAACACATGGCAGATTTCTATTTGCTCGACTTCATTCTCTGCGTTTGCGCAAATGAACTTGTGGTCGAAACGAGGGAAGAACAAGCAAGATGGTAAACAGCAGCAACTGCAGACTCACAGACTGATTTCGTACATAAGTGAAGGAATTCTCCAGTGTATACCCAGCCCTCAAGCCTCCCTCAATCCTTGATTGGATTGAGTACTGGGGCAGAAAAGTCCAATTTGCTGTCTTCGCTCCTTTTCTGCTTTACACTACGAGGTTCGTGCCATCCCCTGTTACTAGTCCGAAGATTGGTACTAGAAGAAATATGAAAGGAGTGGAAATTGAAAACAAGATGTGGGGACTAATCAGAGAGATCAATGAAACTCAGTCTGATATTTCGCTTCAGATGTATCTCTATGAACGAGCCATCCATTGAATCTTCCTTTAGGAGGACATGGATGGCCGCCTGTCATTCATCTGGAGATGAACGAACCCTTTTCAACTTCTCTGTGTACAATTTCTGCTTGCTTAGATAATCCTAAAATTGCTTGTTGTAGAAGAGCTTGACATCGATCTAGTTCATTGAGAATACTAATAGGAAAACCCAATAAGAAGAAGAAGAAGAGGCCCAAATAGCATCACAATTGTCAATTGCTGACCGATGTCAAGAATTACGATCAGTACGGCAGATATCGCCAGAATCACCAGGGAATTCGAGGCCCAACCAACGTGTCAAAGAAGTGGAAACTTCACGTATCCTTGTTCAAGTTTTTGGTCACTTATTTGCTTCAGTTCATCAGAGCTGAGCTGTGCAAGGAGTATGCGGAGAAATTTTAAGTAGAGCTTGTGCGGACCTCTGAGTACAGGGCTGCTAATTCCCGAGTCCTTCATTTACAACCTCTACCAGATGTTGATTCAATTGCGGCGATTTTGACGAAGAACAAGACCTACGGATTAAAGATTGTTTGTGAATGGTCGTCTTTCAGTATGATTGAGATCTTCACGACTTGCAACCTCGTCTGTTCTCTTCTCTCTTAACCAAACTCAAGCACGAAGAAAAGCGTAAATTCCGCAAAACGGAGAAGCTGACATTGTAATGGTTGCCGGGAAGAGCACCATCGTAAGGTTAATTTTCGGCCGATGGAGCAGAATCCCCTGTAACCCGCCCTCTACAGCAGACAGAAGGTTGCCAGAAGGTTTCGCAGAAGACGTGTGCGCACAAGATACTCCTCACCAAGATCGCGTACGGATGAACTGTCCTCCATGCAGACCCAATCCCTGAGTCCGAACACTGCCAGCCTTCTCGATACCAGCTAGGCACAGTGTGAACTTTCGATCAGCGATGGAAGGAGCAGAGCACAATTTCCAGTCAGTCGATCGACGAAGAGTCAGAACTGGTGCAGCGTCCACCTCCAAACCCTATCTGCCGTCACGCTGATTGCCCCTGGGCCTCGTGCTATCGATGGCGTAATTAAGACACCTCCACCGCCTGTCTATCTAGTCCTCGTTTTGAAATTCCTGGTCTGGATTCAAGCATTCAGCAGAGTGCTCATCTACGCTCTTGGCGAGGGTGAGTCAGTAGGTCTCTTCGTTGGGTTGGGCGGTGACCGAGGCAATGCCCCTAAAGACCTGCACAGCGGATCACTTTCTTTCTGCTGCGACGACGAGTCATGACGTTCTGGATGCGGTGCATGTTCTTCCAGATTGGGTTCGTGATGAGTGCTCTCGTTGTGAAACATTCGTTCGCGCTGTTGAGTGACGTGAGATTCCTCTGGCATATTCGCCTTCTTGGTGAGGCGCGTTCATGGTGACTGACAGTCTCTTCGGCGAAGAAGTATTTTAATATTTCCGATCGTTTGCGATTTTTTAACTCTATTAAAAGAAGTATTTTGATGTCGTCGGGGGCATTGGGCTCCGTCTTGAGTCTCCGTCGGCCGCGCCGGGTCATGTGATATGCTTTTAGCTTGATAACTGCAGGCAGGGGAGCATGCTTTGCGCTCGAAGATTCAGTAGCAGTGTTGTTTGGTGATGGTCAGGAAACAGTTGTCAAATCAGCTTTTGATTTAGAGCAAGATATTGCAATTCTTTTCGTCATAATGGTGGCTGAAATGCTCGCTCAGCAATTAATCTCATGCAGCGGCCACGAATCATATGTGAAGCCGCTCACTGAGTGCCGGCATCGACTTTGGTCGATCGGCCTTTCAAGACTGATGTGCGTTCTACTCCAAGCTCCTAATCCAGATCGCCGATCTTTTCCTCCTCACCATTGCTCTCAAAAGTGGGCATATCTGGTAGATTTAATGCACAAAGGCCATAAACCTGATCGCTTATCCGGTTGATTTTTACATATCGAGTTCATATTTGAATGAATTTGCTCATCGATAATTAATAGGCGCAACTTTAAATTTTGCCGATATCATAACCTTCGAATCTGTAAATTTGTTGCCTAACGATGAACCGTTTTTGCTTAGAACAAACGCTTTGATATTAAAATGTACTTTTTTTCGCTGTCGGATCTTCGGAAGTAACTCAGTTACTCACTCACATCCTTTGATGGCATAATACCAAAAAGTCTTCCAAGTGTGCCTAAATTCTTGGGATGTTTCTTTGCCACTGTCGTGCTGCGTTCAACATGGATGGATGCGATATCATCTCTTTGTGCTTAGTCCCGTGTTCTTGATTGTATACTAGACGAATCTTCATGTCCATTTTGATACATTGCTCCGTATGATACATTACAATAATACTCTTTTCTATAGAAACCGACGCGCAACGAAGCCTCGTGTAGCCTCCGAAATGCAGTATCAACAGGTCAATTTGTAACCATGGTTTCGACGTGCTCGAAATTTGCGAAGCCGGTTTGCTCGGGGAAAAGGCCACAGGTACAGAGACCGCTCAGCTATCCCATATCCGATCGTTTCCCTGAGGTCTCACCCACTCACTCTACTGGACGCTTCGTCCGGTTCATCTCGGTTAAAGACAAACTCATACCTCGTGCGAACCACAGGATCTCTCCCATGTGCCTCGAATTGAACAAAAAACTGGCAGCACCACTCACGAGCTGGGTAAGGGGCAGAATCAGAGTGGGACGTCGAAGGAGAGGAGAATGTATAGCTAACTGGAAGAAGACATTGACTCTATGGACGATGAGACACTCTTCTTGCATCGAACAGGTGTGCACAAAGTCGTCTCCCGACAATCAATTCTGGACAATTGGTAGAAGGGCATCTGTTCCTCATTCACGACGTAAAGGATTCAGACGATATAATGAAGAAAGAGGCAAAAAGCATAATTATACAAATTGCTGAATTGTGTACAAGACTGGAACCAAGGTCGAGCAGAAAGACGAATGGCCGACAAAATTTCGGAAAATCTAGTAAGGGGAGAGGGCAACATGCATCATTATACAATGTGTTCAGTAAATGTACAAATCTGAAACCAGAGCAACTGGTCATTCGGAATTTTGACGAGTTAAGACTAAATTTTCTAAGCCTGAGCAGAGACGGGATGAGATGGAGATTCTCTCGCGGAATCGTTCACAGGCGCGGCGTGAAGTCGTTGACCGCTTTCGTCGAAAGTGGCAGAGAAGTCTTCGCTGTCGGACTCAAGATTTTGGAAGCTCGGAGTGGGCGGAGAAATCTTCAGAAGAGCTGCTCCGTCGTTCGCATCGCCGACTTTCCTGGCGCCCTTGGTCAGCATGTTGAGGTGTTTCTTCTGGTTCCTTAACCTCATGGCGAGACTCCTGAAGCTCCCTTTCACCAATCGGCCCTCTTGCTCCGATGCGTCCTCCTTCACGTCCGCAGACAATGTGCAACACTGAGATTTTACGAGACTGCTTCTGTATTGAGGAGGGATTGGGTACAGGAGGTAGGCTTGCCCGAGAACAAGCATCTGGTCCGAGCGCATGATCGTGAGCTTGCTGCGTCTTTGCCCCGAGGAACTGAGCTTCTTCTCGCCTTTCTTCTCGCCGGGCGTACAGTGCACCACCAGGTGGTCCGCGTGCTGCTTCATAACCTTCGATGCCAAAATTGGTTGATCGTATTCGACAATTTTTCCATCAGTTCTCATGACACGCACCGTAGGAGCCCCATTGAGCATACACTTCATCGCCGCGTTCCCCATTCTCGAGCGCCAGAGATCAACTCTTCGAAAAAGACTTCCTCCTCCTCCTCCTCCTCCTCCAAAGACGACACTAATCACCAGCAACGAAAACCTGCTGCTGAATCCCGGAAATTGAAATCGAGAACAAATTACTCCCTCACGCTCGGCTCAAGTCGAGCTCGCGGCTCCTGAATCGAGCGTACACTTCGCCACACAGCCGCCGCTGCTGAGGGGAGCGGCCCCTTCCATAAACACAACGGGGAAGTTTAGTTCCCACCAACACCGCCCCTCGAGTTCCCGTACCGCTTACACTGCGAAATCTGAAAGCTCCGTCGCGGGCCTCTGCACCTGAGATTATATGTCTAGGCTTCGGAAGGTACGAGCGATGGCCCACGCGAGATTCACGAGCCGAACGAAGAGCGGGCAATGCTGGCGGGGCCAACCAAGAAGAGAGGGAGGGCGGAAGCCAAACGCCAAACGCCAAATGAATGAGAGAGAGAGGGAGAGGGAGAGGATGCAAGTGGATTCCGAGCGCGAGGTACAACTCTCACCGTGAGAGGAAATCAATGAGAACAGGCCAAATTCTTCGGAAGTCGAAAACTAGAATCACACCGCTCCGAAATCCACCGAATTTCCCTCGCACTCGGTCTCACAGACCGGATTCACTCCTGCCCGAAACGAAAGAAGGTTCACGATTGAAGGGAAGGGAAGAATCACAAAAACGGGTGGGATGCGAAAGGAGAACAAATACGGCCGACGAGAAGACCGAGTCGAAGGAAGGAAGAGGCTCTGACGAGCTCGAAGATATAAAGATGGATTGATAGATAGATAGATAGATGGATGGATATAAAGATGGACAATGATGGAAGAGAGAACGTTTTTCCGCAACTGAAACTGAAACTGCCTACAGTCACACCTAGCTCGCTTCCAGCGATGGAAACGAATCGACAACGAAACTCAATCAATGACAGCAATCACGCAGTACGGGCAGTTTTTGCTCTTTGTCTGTCTGTCTGTCTGTACCGATGTAATCCAAGAAAGATGAAGAAGACGGATGGTCAGGTCCGGTCAGGTCAGGTCAGGTCAGGTCGGTTCAAGTCAGCGGAGGGAGACGTGTGGGCGGAGCGAGCATTTAGAGCTCCAACCTCCACCTTCTAAGATCGGATACCGTATTTGAACCTGTACTAGGGGCTAGATGGGATGGTAGATGTGGGTCGAGTACCGTAGAGAGGAAGGGAGGTATCTCCAAAATCCTCGAGACGCAAGAGCGAGCGAGGGAGCGAGCGAAGGAAGTGGGGAGGAAATTGATTGGCGCCGAAGGGAGGCGCGAACTGCCTCGTCTACGCTTGCAATCGCGACTGCAAGCAGTAAACGGGCAGAGAGCACCGTGGAGGAAAGGGGGGACTTGTGGCTGGCTGCAGATTTAGGGCGGCCGGACAAAGCCCCCTCCGGCTCGATTGGAGCTCGCTGCTGCCCCCGCCGGACGGACCGCCCTGACGGACCGAGGGTCAGACGGACGCCTAGTGGGGCCATATGTTATCCACTGCCTCGTTTTGTTTTGTCCTCCGTGTTCTGACACGGAGGTGACGTACTCCATCCCACGCGGCCCGGTCCAGTCCGCTCCGACGCGACCTGCGCTGCTCGAGAGATTCAGGGGATGCCACCGCCACAAGCCGGTAGCTACTTTGATTATCTACTCTGCCACCGGCATACAGCGACCGGCATAGAGCTCAGCCTGTTACACCAGGTCAAACATAACATCTGAACCTGTTGGAATAAGTTACTAACTATATTAAGAAGTGGAAGACAGTAAAGAGTAGTGTAGCAAAAAGCATAGGAATTCAGCGTCAAATCATACGCGGATTGAAGGGCTAGGATAGTGCTAGACCCCAGTAGCATTATAATGAGATACATCTCATTATTTTGCTCTATACATGTCTCCGCTTATTTATGAGATTTATCAACTAGCCATATCAAGCATAGTACCCATCATCTTTGCTTTCAAATTCATTTCACTAACAGATGTTATTAGAAAAGTTCAATATACCTAATCTTAAAGTAGATTTCACAAATTGGATACATCAAATGAAAAACCGTCCGTCCATTGAAAAGAAATACTTTACACAGTATAATTAATAAAGACTGAAACAGATAAGAATAATGTGGCAATTTATAGTCTCATCTTATGATAATCTCTTGTGATTGACACAATAGCATGAATTCCAACACTTGCAATCGTTACCTATATGCTATTGAAATATACATATAAACTCTAGTAGATTTTAATATATGTCTAGAAAACATTAATGACAGTATCCATAAATTTCCTATGTTTTCCAAATATGCCATGAAATGAACCATATAGCTTCCAAAAGAAAAGATAAACTCAGATATAGCTAACGAATAGGTAAGGTTATTATGTACCTAGTGAAATTAGAATCGTACATCAATAATATCTTGAAGGAAAAATATTTTCTCCATGTCTTCCCATACAAGGATGAGAGGATGTTAATGGTAAAAAATAACCATATCTTACAAAAATTTTGTCTCTACTATTGAAAACTAGCTTATTATTTGAGACAAATTTGAAAAGTAATTGCCTTTTAAGCACATTCGCTCTTTCACAACTTGAAGGTACTTGGTCCGATGTTCTCGGTAAAGAATCGCATTTATTTTCATATCAAAGGTTGTCAATTCTCGTGAAGTAGAAATTTTTTTTCCATATGGGTCCGTGAGCAATACTACAGTAACATATATACAATACCTCACACATAATTTATAAAACCTAGAATAAAGATATTTGGCGGTACTACTTGGACAACACATACGTCTTCATAGAGTTGAGACAAAGTGTTGAACCCATTCACACTCCAAGAATGTGTAAAACTCAAAGAAGAATAATTGAAACCCTCGATAGAACACTCCCTTCCTTTCCGCGATTGCGTGAAAATCAAGGGGGAGAACGACTCCCAGACTGTATCCAGAAGTCTGCCAAGGGCCAAATAATTCGAACAGTTCCACCCATGTGAATCCCCTATGAGGTTGCCTCCCCTACCTTATGAAGGTTCCGGGGTTGTCACTCCCAGTGGATTACCGTATGATGTCCGCTACATCGTATAAGTCGGTGAGTGTACAGAGATCCGTATTCCTGCTTCGATGCCAGATTCGATCGTAGCCGTCAAGGATTACGAGTTTTGTTAGCTAGAGAAGGACGACGAGTGAGAAGCTCGTGTGCGGTTGGTCAGTGATAGTGCGTGCTCTCGGCATGACAAAGTGAAAGTGATATTGTGGGCCAGTATGTGCACAAACATATGTTTGCCCTGTTCAACTCACCGTATCGACATATACATTCATATCCGCGTGTTTGGATATGAATTATATCATATTTATAAATTATATAAAATTATACCCATGAGGAGGAAGTTTTGTCAAGCGGCATAAGTTAAATGTCGCATCTGTGCTTTCATTTTAGAGCTTTACAGGTTGGATCTTGTCAAACCCCGGGTACCACACTGGCCTTTCATCTTCGAATTCGTCCAATTTTCTTTCATCATCATTAAGTTGGTACCAGTCAATGAAATCACCTTCAGTCGGTTTCATAAAGTGAAGGAAATTGAGACAGTGAATGGTGTTGAGGCGAATTATAAGGTTATACAATTCCTTTGCATAAAGATATACAAATCCCATGTGTGTTTTTAAACAAATAGAATATCGACAAGCTTTGTACTTTATTAATTATAATTTTTTGTCCTCTTGTGTGCGGATGTTAGATATAACTATGGTCGATCAACAAGGTTAAAACTTGTGAAGAAATTAGGAGTTGTCTAAGTTTTTCTCCTCAATAATATAGCTAGAATTCAAGTTGCAAGACATACTAAAATCAAAGGGCACAGTCTTATTTTAAAATAATTAGAATATACTCTTCGTTGTTGTAGTCTAGTTACTCTCAATGATACCAATCTTTGCTCATTGAGAAAGAGAGCTTTGACCCCGCTCTTTTCTTATGAAAAAAAATTCTAAGAAGTGGAAACAAATAGAACATGCTGTACACTAAAACAGTCCTTTAGACTTGGACTCGACATATATACTATCTGCTGTAACCTTGATACGGGCAGCTGTTTCATGTAAATACAGACTAGAGAGCGGATGACTGGACAGGCTTAATGAAGAACATTCAGCTTGTCTGCAATCTGTCAGAAGTCTCCCAAGTAGGATCGATGACCGGGCTCGCTTTGACGCGCATTACCATTCCCAGAGGAATGACCAAATACCATCATCAGCTCGCGTCGAAACTGGAGCCATGCCAGACCCGTAAACCGGTTGTTACCGGTTGCCCGCTGCATGTCCTTGCCATGAGACTTTTTCTGTGCTGCATGGATTCTTACAAAGCGCAGGTAGTGACCAATTGACGAAGGATTAAACACTGTGGGACCAGAGTCATACATCAAACCCTATGATAACAGTTTCCGGCTATAAGGTACAGTTCAGATGTCCTGTTCGGAATTTTCTTTCAAGAATGTTTCATCACCCATCCCAAAACTGATCCAGTGCATGACATATTCCACAACGTTTGAATAGTCTTGAATTTTCCAAAAGTGTTTCGGATGCTGTGTATGATAAGTTATTTGGAATTTGACTTTTTTGAAGTGCATCACTTTATGATCATCATTTGTGATTTGTGCATTTAACCATGGTGCATTTGGAAAACACCTAAACATAACACAAATCTCAAGAGAATGAGATTTTATAAAATCATAGATGTTGTGCATCATCACAAGTTTGATGAGTTTTTATTTTAGCCTACATACATTTTTTGTTGCTAACCGTGTCCTGCATATATTATGAATTAAAGATATTTGATTGATAACTTTTTTAATGAGATGTGATGTAATAAAAAGTAAAGATAATTTTCAAATAATATAAGCGAAGAAAAGAAAAATCGTGTAAAATATTTTGTAAGGATCAAAATTGAGAGGATATTATGATAAGTCATCATATATTCAAACTATCTTTATCGTCGATTGTGTGCACCTTTCAAGATATCACTTTGTATTCAATATAATCAAAAGTATACAAAGTCTCATTACTAACCATTTCTTAGTTGAACAAGATTCATGCTTGCAAGATAAAAGCCCCAAAATAGCATTAAAGACTTGAATACCTATAACTAATGAGCGATGAAATTTCGTTGGCTAAAGTCTGCAGTGTAATAAGCTGAGGATACAAGTTACCCTTCTTGTTCAGTAAGACAGACTCTAGCACAATATTATATATACATGTCAAAGTTGATGTCTGCAGTAAACATAAGCTAAAAGTTAAACAGGAAAAACTGAACTCTTTTGCACATCCCCTTAAGTAGAGATTTTGACTGATGACTTTCCACTCAATGAGCATCCAAGAGAATATATATCATCCATAACAAAATTGTGTAATCGTACAACTCAAGCATACATTGGAATGATGTAGTTAAATTCTTTATTGTTGGTTTATGCATAGTCTGCTATTCTGGTCTCTTCTATCCGTAACCTCGGAGATATGTCGAGAGTATCAATGTCTACAAGGCCAAAATGTTGGTAATTATTAAAGAGTGTATTAATGCTGGCCATGGATTTTGCTGAAAAAATTAGTGAACTGAATCTCAAAAGGCGTACCTCCTCCATGGCCTTGGACTTTATCAACTTCTCAACAGTTTTCCTCCATAGAAACTTCTTGTCCACATCGAAAGTTAGATTGAATATGATTCTCGCAGTTACAAAGAGAAAATAATAATAATTATATCCATATTATTCTAATTTATGCATGAGGTCGAGGACTAAAGCAAGGAACTTCGTTTTGTGCATGGGATTGATGTGTAAACTCGTGGTTGACTTGGCTTTTCCTCCAAACAACAATCTTTCTGTTTCCAAGAACTTTTTCTTTTTTTCAGTTGTGTACTCGATCTACAACTGCTGCCAGACGGAGCCTGACGCCTGGTTGATGTTGTACCTCTGAACCTCTTCAGAACTTCTTTGCAACGACTTTCTACACGTAGTCATCGTCAGGATAATTTCTTTGTAGAAGACTTGGTACCTGAAGAACAAAGATTAGTTGATGGTGAAGAATTTGACATGGTCGAAGAGTTGAAACGACGTGCATCACACATAGCAGTGTGAAAACCGAATAGGCATTAAAAATCCACAAAGAAGGGAAGATTAGGGCCTGACAAAGATGAAAAAACAGCATTCGAGGTTGGCAGCAGTTTCCACAGTTCTTTAAAAGATTGCACATTGTGTGGCTTTCTGACTTCAATTGTTTTAAAATGAAAGTCATACATATTTCCCGTTTGATTATATATATATTCAACTCTTCGACTATGTCAAATTTTCACCATTCATAAATTCATAAATTCATATATATATATATATATAGAGCTTAATGATGTGTTTTTAAAATTCAATACTTTTGTACATTATTTGCCGTCATTTCCAAGACACGAGACTGCAATCTGTTGGCTGTTCCGAAGACGACAATGAAACTCATGTTTTGTGTTTTGGTATTCTTTCTTGTATTTTCGCCTCTGGTATCTGTTACATAGAAGGGCGAAAGTACGCCATACGGTACTGGAGGAAGGGGAGTATGATGATACACAGTCATTCTCGACGTCATCATAAAAACGGGGTCTCTCTTTTGGCTCGATGGCACTGATTGCCACCTCCATGGAATTGGTTGTTACTGCAGGGGTAGGTAATGTAAGACGTGCACATGGGGATTGTTGATGACAGAGTTGAGCATTCGTTCCTGCTCCATATCGTCCTAAATTTACATAAGAGATCTCCCGTGTCAAATGGGAACTTCCTTTCTACTCAAAACGTTTGTAGACCTAGCTTTCTTAAAAGACAAACTATTCTCAGAGGGCACTCCAATTTGTGGTTTAGAAAGCTCTTCGCATTTGTGCTACGAAATTAGCATCGCCTGCCAATTTTCCAACAATCAAATGGCTCCAGCTCTAAATATCAATTATAGCGATTTGAACTTTGGTGGGAAATAAAATGGGCTACATGTCAGGTTCATGCCTTTAACCAAGTCAAAAACAATATATATAATAATGCCTTATGTTTGACTGACACCTAAGGAGAAAGGAATACTGTAGTTGAGAACACATTTGCTTAGACCAAAAAAGTTTGTCGGTTTTTCGGAACTTACAGCGTAAAGGACGGGCTCTAGAGAATGGGGACAATGTTCGCCATTGGGTCCATTCACTCGAAATTGTATTTGTGGTTAAATCTGTCGTCGCAGAAAGTCCTCATTGGACTAGTGGCAGTTGTAGGTCACTCCATATTCTATGGGTGTCTGCAAAGTTAGAACATTCTGCAATGAGCCAGCTGAGTTAATGGAATAAGTGGTGGCTAATTTGGAAGTGGAAGTTTAGCACTCTGAGTCGTCGTTTCTTAATCCTCTGTTATATTTTCGTTATCCTATATAACTAGGGTCTTGATTATCGACTTTTTCCACGGTTTACCACAATGGCAAATGAAAAAAGGGTCATGGTTTTTGAGCGCTCAAACTTATCGTTGAGCGGTGCCTGATCACATCGTAAACGAGAACACTTGCCAGAGGACAATCGAAAGAGAAAGTTCCTGCAAGTGGTTGAAGTAACTCTGCCATGGTTAAGGCATGGGAGGGCAAAGTGTTCAGATTGAGGATAGTTTGATGCACATGGTTCGGTACAGATGAGTCATCTGAGATGGTACGTGTTTCTCATCGCGATGCCACTGGGAGCTAGCTTTTCATTCCCATTTGGATTCATGCCACTCGATGGGGCCTTATCGTCTTCTTTGCTGTAATACTTGGTACTCCTACCACTATATGTTTATAAGCTGACGAGAGGTCGAGAGAAGAAGGTGCACTTGTGCCCTTCGTCTCCGTCTTGGCCGATGTGATCAGGGAGATGACACCAATTAATCCATCAACTCCACCTGGCACGTCGCAATTGTGACCAAGTCCAGCGACATATCGTCTGGATCGAGGTGCAGGGAACGAGCCTCGGAAACATGATCGAGCATTACGAGGATCGAGAAGCACGGATCTGCCGATGTCGGTCATCGCGACGGACTTACGACGGGAGTGAGACGTCGGCGTTTAGATCCGTTGGTTGCGTTCAAAGCAGAGCAGAGAGGTCGCTGATATTATTCACCCGATCGATGGAGATCGCCGCCGAATAAACGAGAGCAGTCATCGTTCCCGACAGTCGCGATCGTGTTGGAACATCGTGACACCATTAGTGAGGTCGGAGTAGCCGTTGCGCGCCTTCCGCTGAGAAATCCGTTAGCAGTCCTGGGCGGCGTGGTAGGAGAGTGCACGAACGGCATCCGAAGTTGGATGCGGTGCGTGCACCGAAATCAACCAAATCCAAGCTCACGGTCTGGTTAAAGTTGGGACAGGTATTACGGATTCAAGACCGACATTCAAGACTTAAAAAAAATAAAAAATCATATTTATATAATTTCTTGAAATATTTTTTATCAACACTGATATTTACAACTTATCTTTAAGATATATCTAGTCTTCGTCGTTGAATATAAGGTATTTTCCCTTAACACAACTACTAACTGAAAGACTTTGACTTGCCTTTTCCATCTTACGTGCCATCTTATGATGACACGTTTCATGGAATTTTATAATGTAAAATCCGACTCCTTATATATTAATTATTGTAATCTTGGTTTGATTCATTCGCGAGGAATAGGAGAGAGCAGTTATCAACCAGGTCGGTCCCTGCTCCAGTCCTTCCTCCTCCTCCATCGCCGCGTAGAAGCTGTCTTACAGCGTAGAAGTGTACGCTGTAAGACAGCGTCGCGGTCTGCATGGACGATCGCACCGGGCACCTCCCCGTGTTCTCATATGTAACTGGCCTGAGGTGCAGCGTGGTCGAAGATCGGGGTTAGGGTACCTTTTCCATGGCTTAGGGAGAAAATAAAGGGAAAACGCTTACGACAAATTCAGTCATTCCGAAAATTACGCTTTTGACGAAGATAGCAGAAGCGGCATGATAACCCAGAATCCCCTATTCCCCAAATCTTCGCCCGTTGACGTTGTGAATAGCTCATGACCGACGTTGACGTGGAGAGGAATGATAAGGGAAGTGGATGACTCGCTCCGACCGAGCCTACATGGATCTCAGTGGCTGACTTGACTTCCATCGACAGTTTCGAAACCCAAATTCTTACGAACGTTTCCTGCTCTTGGTCTGGCCTTGTCAAGGGCAGGGATGCCATGTCAAGGGCAGTGCATTGAACGGGTGAATCCCAGGACCCATTCATTAACCGGCAGCTCGTGAATGCGAATCTCCTTTACAGCTCAGGCCTGCCTCCGTTTTTATAGGAAGTGTCAACTTCGCCCATTCCGACTCCCCGACTCACCGCGTCAAAATAACCGCGTCGCGTGCTGTATGCCATGAGCACCAAGCTGCTAAAATTCACGTGACGATATGAACACACATCTATAGGGAATAAAATAAAGTCTAGTCCAATATTTTAGCGGGAGCAATTGGAAGGATCCACGGGGTCGTATACTTATGGAAACATGCGGGTAGGATGGAGCACTGTCCCAATAGCACACCCATTGTATTAAAACCATTTAGATCAAAATGTTTAAATCCTGGTCATCCAATATGAATGGAAATTTAGCCGATACTCTCTGGATAAAAATGCGTACATGCTAACTATGATATGCTACACGATATGGAAAAAAAGGGAATACTAATATCAGTTAATATGGTACTGCCTCCCACATTTTCCAGGGTTTAGGTTGGGAGCAGAAACTGTGAAGCATATGTATTTCACTAGACCAGTATCTAACACCGTTACGTTCGAGGGAAATCATTAGGCTAATGGCCTGAAAAGTATTACAGCAAATGAGCAGTCACTCACAGACTTTATCTATGTTCCAAGGAGATGGAGGTTATCTAATTTTCGGCAATTGCAATGTTCAAGGCCATTTGAGAACATCGAATGTATCGTGGCTATGTTTGAGAAGAAAAGCCACAAGGTACCACTTATCGTACGAGAGCAAAATATAACTTAAAGGAAGTGGCTCTTGCTGGACAAAAGTCGGAGAATGGAGACAGAAATCCAGCAATTACAGCGAGCATGATTCACATAGCAGCAGATGGAAGCGAGAAGTGAAGCCTTTGTTCCAAGATCCCAACTGGAAAGCGAGGGACCCATGAGGTGAAGAGGAAGAGCTTTCGTGGCAGCACAATTCGAGGCAAGCACTCCGGACGGACGGCAATTGGGCAGTGATAAGCGATGATGTAGAACAAGGGGGAAATAACGAAGTAAGAACGGTGGAGCAGATGTGACTATGGAGGGGGCAGACAGCTGACGGGCAGAGAGTGTCGCCTCCTAGGAGTAAAGCCAAAGTAGTAAGATCTACCAGAGCTGCAAGGCGGCTTAGTTCAGATTGGGATAGCTCAAAAGTCATCACCAGGATTGTGCTCCTTTACAGAGGCCCTAATGTTACAAGACGTACGTCTTCGGAAACTCCCCTGAAGAAGCCTAGTCTGCTACAGCGGTGAGTGCGGATCTTGAGGAGTCTGTTTTATTACATGTTAGGTACAGGAAACCGTATGGTACAGGTATTCTCTTACACTATAGGTTCAATTTGAGGAAAATGCTAAAATAACAGAACACAAAAAGGGAAGCTTTAAAGTCGATTAGCCTGACTAATGCCTTCAATTTGCCTCTCGAAAGCACTATTTGGCTTGTAAGAACGGATCGAAATCCGCTATTGTACTTGAAACATGATGACCTTGGAATGATCGCAATAAGGGGAAAACCCTGACAATCAAACAAAGAGTCAATTGTAGCAGAGCTCATATTCAGAAGCCGACAGATGGTCGATGGCTTCTCGGTGGCGATCTACAGCAGTTAGTGATCACGATGAAAAGCTGCGAGGTTTGCGAGCTGGTCAGATCTGAAGTGAAAGACCAGGGTGCAGTATATAGCGGACTGTCAGTTGTTGTAACCCTCCTGGAGTATGGACTGAGGCCTGACACCCACGTATCTAGCTACCCTCATTTTGGCAAATATGAAATCGGTGTACTTTTTGAGTCCTGACCAGCAACCAAGTCCTGTCACTGCATAACAGTTCTGCAGGTGCCCACAGCGTGGAGACACGGTCTGGACAGCGAGGATCAGAGAGCATGTCTGTCACTTTTCCTCCTTTTACACACGCACGAGCTCTTGACCTCCTTTCGGGTGCTGGAAACAACTGAAGAACCTCTGGCCTCTGAGATGGCTTTCCTTTCACTCCAAGTTTGGATTCCCTTCTAACCTTGAACGGCCTGCAATGTCCTAAACTTTCCTCTGGTTCCTGCAAGCTTCCTAAGTATTATAATTTAGGGAGAAGGACACGGCTGTCTAATGTGCCTCAGAGTTTGCTGGCGGGAGCTCAGAGTACACTTTTGTTGCCCAGTTTTGAAGAGCATTTCAAACCCATGTCTCCAGCCCAGTCGGATATGTTTTTCCTCTCTTTCAGTTAGTTCCGTATTTTGTACTAATCTGCACTGACTGATCTCATGGATTTTTTATTTTCCTATGAAACAACAACTGCAGGGCGAAAGTAACTTCTTTCGCCCTGCTGTTTTGAAAAAGTATGTGTATGAATTTTCAGGTGTACTCGAAGTTCTTAGACCCTTGAAGAAAATAGCTTCTTCCATTAAAAATGAGAAACACATGAACAATTTGATGTACAATTTCAATTACATATATGTGAGTGTTTGGGATGGTGTATTTAATCTTCATCATAAAATGAGAGTATGTAGAAATCAGGAGCAAAGTTCTCCAAGTATAAATTCTCTTTTCATTCAGCTTTGAATTTCCTTCAGGAGAAAGCGTAAGAAAGAATATAATACAATCCACATAGTGTATTATAGTGGATCATTGTCATGATGTATATACTATTTAAGTGAACATGTATCCATTGTTACAGAGAATTCCTTGACTTATGCAATCCATAGAAGAAAATCCATGTTAGTTAATGATTCTTACACACACACATATAGATATGTACTTAGATTGCTATTATAGTTTATATGTATCAAACATATTTCTCATTGCGATTCTATCGGGGACTAGCCCCATCCCACCCATTTGGATAGATCCTGTAAGACTAATGGGTTCTTCCCGTCCTTTTTCGATGTTTTACTTTCACCTTCAGATTAGGAAACACTTGCTATGTCCCTTTGACTTCAGTTGTTACAGTTTTCCTTTTCTCTGTTTCTCTGGACCCCACTATGTACAAGAAGAGTTCAAGAATGTCATTGTCCTCTCGTGAGGGCCCTCTTTGCAAGCCTTTCGACAGGCCTTTGACCTGCAGCTCTAAAAGTTCGTTATATGTTTGAATTCAGGCTAGTCCCAAGTCGTCGCTTTTCTGAACGTCCAGACTGGAGTGCAGAGATGAGCGTGAATGAGCGCAATCAACGGAGTCAATCGGTGGGGAAAGGCACATGGTCTGCTATTTCGAGAGAAAGGCCAAGGTCTGCAGACACTCTGATGCACATGAATTTGCGAACCCCGGAGCAGACGGTCGTCTTCGCTGGTGGGCTCCGAATCTCCCGATCACCAGCAGTCAAAGTGGACAATGTAGGATTGCAACCTGGTGTTTCTTCCCGAGCTCCCACTGCGCTCCCTGTTTGCTCACCGGCTGTTCACTTGTTGCTTCTGATTTTCAAATGTCCCCGGGTATTTCGGCATCCAAAAAGCGAAATCTCTGACTATAGGGGATTTATAACGGAGGAAACTCCCTTTAACTGAGAATGAAGTTTAGTTAACTGACGTGGTGCTGCATAACACCGTTTTGTGGAGCACAACGTCATGGTATGTAATCTGGGCTCGTTGCAAAGAGCCTTACTGGCTCTTGAGTAGGCTGAGTCACATTTCGCCTCTTAGCTTTTATCTCAGGGTGGAAATCTCAAGATAACTTTGTTGAAAGATGTACATCCTATAATGGTAATACAGCAACTAATACAGCAAAAAGGACGGGAAGACTTCATTACATCGCACAGTGAAATATACAGAGGGGTAAGATGGTGCTTCTAGAAAACATGTTTGATTGATGTTCACATACTTTCCAGCTGAGTTTTGAAGCAGATACACCAAGTTTGGACATTCGAAGGTCGTCTCAAAATCTTTCAAGGTTTTTTCCAGCTGTTTGGATCAGCTGTTTCGTTCGTACAGTAGTGGGTTCGCCTGTCATTAACTTCTGAAGTTGACTTACTAGCTGGGCGGTGTCTATATCTCGACCACCAGAGTTGGTCGCACTGTTGCACCGAAGGATCTGCTTGATCTTATATTTTTTGGCCATGAACCTGTCATGCTACTTTCGTTGTTATAGCATCTATTGCACCTGGACATGAACATCGGACTTTGATGTGGAAGTCAACACCGTGTTCAAAACTCTGGTGGGAGACACAGTGGGAGCTTTCAACTTTTCATACTGGACTCGAGAAGGATTAACACTATGACCTGTCAACTCGTCTTCTCAAACATTGGACTCGATAAAACTTCCAAAGTACAGTCAGGCCTAACTTCTGGGTGAGCCTATCTACTTAATTTAGATGAACTACTCATGGATTGGCAAGCTCTATAGTCCTGGGCGAAGTGCGAAGGGTCCCTAGTTCATGTTGGTCGAGGTCGAGGAAGCTCCGGTAATTCCCTTATGTCTCGCCACATCGTCGTGTGCTGGTTGTCTCTGATACTAATTAACTGATCACTCTAATCGTTTCTTGCTTGTGATCATGGTTAACAACACTTGAAACATATATCATCTCCCAAATTCCTGGATCATTGCTTGTGAACAACAACAAGTAGTTCCATTGCTGGTGACAATTTAGTTCTTTCGTTGTTATGGTTGTAGCATTCTAACTTCGATCTCCATTTCCCCTTTTGTAAAAATCGTCTATTCGCTTAATTTCTCGTTGGTTCGCTTGCAAAAGGGAAGAAGAAGGAGGAGATTGATCAAGTGCATGAGGAGGGTTCGATTGCGTGTTGTTAATCAGGTCGAGGACAGATGGGGAGATCCATGACGAGAATTATTCGCAACGCTGAGGAAACCGTATAAGATTCCAATACCTGCTGAAGACTTCAACTAACTGAATGATAAGAGAAAACTGGAGTTCTCATCTACCAGAACCTCAGGTTCTTTCTCATTGTCTACGGTGAGGAACAAAATATGTCGCTTTGCTTATACAATTTAAAGAATATACCTATCAGTAGCCTGGTTTCATGCACACTTCCATATTGTTTCCTTAGTGTTCTAAAGGTGAGTATACTTGACTTTGGGACAACAACATGTTCTTATTATTGTGGTTAGCACTGTTTAATGAGAGTGTTCATACATCCTCAAGTTGAGTGTAGAATGGTTCGTTAACTATCTTGACCTTTGTACATAATCCAAACATTGTATTAACTTGGTGACAATCACTTCAATCTTGGATATATGAACATGAAGCTCTCTCACAGTATGCAAAGCTAACCTAATTACATCAGAATATCAATTTACACATAGATGTGAATTGGATATTTTTGGTATAAATTTATTTCTAAAATTTCAATATAATAAACATACCCCAGAGTTCTAGATTTATTATCCATCTTTGAATTATCAGGAATCAATTTTTGGATTGACATTCTGATGTTTTTTTATATAAAAATTCAATTCACAATTCCAAATTTTAGTTATTTATATACAATTTTTATTCTATTTTGATTAAGGCACATTCCTTGGCAAGAAATTATATTTTAGTTCAAATTTTGAACAACTCAAAAAATCGATTTGAATGGTGTAAAATTCTACAACAACAAAGTTTTAAATTAATAATTGAAAAAAAATTAAATCAAATAATATTTTTTCTATCCCAAATTATACAATTAAATCCAATAATTTTTTTTAAAAAAAATTAAACTGAGCTGCAATAATAAATGTTGCAGTTCAAAACTGTCCGAGTAATATTAAAATTTCATTTTCAACAATAAATGTTATATGAGTTTTTAATTTTTTTTGGAATGTAGATCTGAAATTTTATTTGATGTAGATCCATTTCAATGAAATTTAAGAAAATTTTCAAATGATATTCATAAAGATAAATTTAATTGATCGATTATGTGTGAAAAGTAATCACTCAAGCTATCTTAATAGTTATTTTTTCAATATTACGCATTATTTATTAATAAATGAATAATTAGGAATTGGAAACTTTTTATAGAATAATGAATTATCATTAGAGAATATTTTTTTATTATTACTTGGGAATATTATATATATAACGAAAAATATCATATACAAAATTGATATATTATCGTTTTGATAATGATATCATGGAACAAAAATGTGGAAATTAATCCTTATAATCTAGTAGTTTCAGCGTGACATTCTGATAACGTTAGCATGAAAGAATACGAATATATTAGTATGCATGTATATTGCTATGGGGCCTCATCCCATCTACCACTAAGTAAATCTTACATGACTTGATGGAGTTCTCGCATCTGTTTGCTGTACATATGGTATCCGGCTTATTGTCTGCTTTAACGTTGCCAATCGAGGTTGGGTGAATTATTGAGCCATAGAAGTGGACACACGTGGAGCGAGCGGATGCAACCGTGTGGCAGATAAAGGAATTGCCACTTGGTTGACAACTCGATAGGCGAGAGGCAATGCACCGTGGCACACGTCAAGCATTTCTGCGTTCAGCTTGTTCGCGTGCAGCCAGAAATCCTTCGCACATTATCTCGCGAGAACTCGAATTTCATATTCATCGCTAAGAACCGGAGGACGTATCGATCAGCAAGCAGAGCCGCCGGAATTGTTCTACTGGGTCGAGATGGCGCAACAGGGCATTGAGAGTGGAGGAGATCGTCCGGAACCGCGGATGGAAGATCGTGAGTCTGCTTCTGCAAAGCACATGGAGCAACTAGGAGCCGCCAGAGCTCGGAATGAGAATGAAGCAAGCAAGCCCATGATTCAAAAGATACAAGATACTACGAGCAGCATCAAAGACTATGTCGCCGATAAGATGGACAGTGCGAGCGCAGCAATGAAGACATCCTTTTCAACCGGCAACGAAAGTATCGCAGAGCGCTCTCGAGACTCAGTTCAAGGGTGAAGACTTATCTGTCTCGGAGGTTTGGTCGTTCATTGATGTCAAGGCTCTTGATGCTGAAATTGATGTTACAGTAGATCTTCGCTGCTAGATACATGTAGTCGACATATTGCTCGGACGTTTTGATGTAGGGTCTGATCAGGAAGAGATAATCAGAAACTCAGCTGTATGAACTAAGTGAGGATGCATAGAAAGACTTGACACTGAAGACTGGGCATAGTGTAAATAGAACAGTTTGTCACGGTCAAAGCTGCAAGAACTCCCTTGCGGGTATCAGTTGACAATTGAGAATAGTGAATTTTTGACTAGAACAATCGACTACCAAGAGCAGAAAGATGCCATTTATCGTTGAGACATTTCTTTTTGGGTTCATAGTGAATGTTCTGTGCATGTGTCATGCTGGCTGGAAGTAGAGAACGTTCGTTTGGTCATTGGCAAAGCAATGTTTTCTTAGTGAGAGTAATCTGAACAGCTCCTAGAGTTAGTGTCGCATTGCGCAAAGACCGTGTGGACTCTGTCTGATTTCTGACTCTTGACAATCCTGAAATCCCACAAAAGTAAATGTATGACCGTTCTGAGCAGAGTCTGTAATTGATGACTTCTTGCACACTGCAAATTTTGGACATCTCCACGCAAGAATATTTGGGAATATCGACGGTGAATACAGCAGTCAACAAAAGTATTAAATGGTGTGTCTTTACAACCACAGAGCTCTTAGACGTGCATGTACTGTGAAATTTATGATGAAGTGATATAAATCTGTCAGTAGGGTATTGAGTCAGCGCACGTAATGTGGTCTGGCTGTTCTGTTCTGGAGCAGGTGGTAACATGGAACAGCAAAGTGCACCAACTGTTCGGTGAAGTAACGGTATTTTGCCCCTCCAAAGTGGCTAGCCAAAGTACCCAAACCGGGGCCAAAGTGGCCCGTCAGAATAGTTGGCTGCCTATGAGCGTCATCATTTCCCCACAGCTATCACAAACTCCACCACATCCCCGCCACCGTATCCGTTTTCGCACTGTGCAGTACAGATGTACTTTATTGTGGTAGGGATGCTTAATTTGCCGTAGTATGTGTGTACGGTGAGTAGCAAACTCTTTTCCCTCACAGGATGGCTTTCAGTTAGAACGCCGTGTCTTAGTGTACAGACGACATTTATTAAAAGCTCTGCTCTGTACTGTACTTCAGAGGACTTTCGTGAAGTAGTACGTTGTACCGTGTTGTCATTGTAACCGCGCTCCCTTTGCGACTACAGTATCTGCGTCACTGGACTTGGTCGGTCCGGGTCACGACAGGTTACAAGGGAGGTACTTGGTCAATCGCCCATAGTGACCCACTGTCAAAAGGAAACTCGGACGGACAAGTTGAACATTGACTTCCCAACTTCACCAGCGATTCGGCAACCATTCATGACAGATTTGGCTTGCACACCTGGCAAGAGATGTAGGCAGAATGGGCAAACCACTCCCTGCCTATCAGACTGAGACATCATTGCTTTCCATTCGCATTTGTCGTAGTGTTAAGCAAACTTTTTAGCAGAGGGAAATAAGTCTCACGTATATGGTTGTGCATCGGAATTGCACTCGCGTCTGTCAACGTCTGTGCGCTGTAAATGGGTGCGATGTTGATCGGTATGGACGATATGGATAGCGTAAAGCACTGACGATGTGTCGTCTTCGAAATTGCTTTGTAGCTTTCTAAAACTTTAAGAACAGTCCTTGAACTCACATAACTACTTCTAACAAAACTGGCTAGTTTGCCCAGCTTTGAGGGAACTTCTAGGTCAGAGCCTGCCGCTTCAATCTATAGTTTGACATGTATGTATGTAAGCCATGTGTAAATATGGAGTTCAGAGAAATGGTATTGTCCTCTGAGAGGCCATCACCTGGTCTAAACTTAATTTTCCACGTAGAATGTGAGGATGTTTACATTATGTGCCTCAACAAGAATAATCAGAAATTAAAATCTCTATCTAAAATCAAAATTAAAATGTTCAAAATTATGATTGCCTCTGATTATAGCAGAACAGTTTATGCTTTTTTATCTGAAACATCCAAATTTTCGTACACATGAGAAAAGAGAGCCATTGGTAGCTCATAGTAGGCCAGTACGATGTACAATCCTACATATTTTAGAAATCCTGGTGGCGACGTGTGTTCTTTCTACAGATTGTTAATCTGAGATTTTAAGCACCTTGCAGAGCATTGACAGATACCATTCTCATTATTCTCATAACTGGATGATACTCTGTTCCGATAGTTTCCAGAACAGGAAGTGAACTTGATTCACTGTACAATATCATGTTGCCAATTTCATTTGAGAAATTTTGTATTCTTATTTTCCTCACGTCAGATAGCTTACTCGATGTTGATTCTAATGGCTAGTCCCGCAGACCTTCGCTCATAGTTATCAGACTTTCGTCTGGAGCGTAATTGACGTGGATGGTTACATTATTGTACAGAAGAGCCAGCGATGTTGCGCTGGGGCAAAGAAGGTACGACACAATGGTATCCGTAGCAATGTACATTTAGATGGCACAAGGGAAACTTTGTTCTATCGAGAAAAAAAACATCTATTACTATACACTTGTACTTTGCGTACAGATGTATAGTAAGTTTCGAGATAAGTACATCTCTCCCTAGTCCTCTCCGATCGGCTGATATGTCGGGGACGAGAGGTAGCGCGCTGTAGTGATTACTGAGATAGCAACTCAAAGGCAGTTCGTACACTGACTTCAGTTGGAATTACTGACGAAGTTATGGTGTCAAAGTTATCAATGGCCGAATTATCAGCTTCTCCACAGAGCACCTAATGTCAACGGGCTTCAGTGAACCGGAAGCTGTAAAGAATGTCAACTCCTGCATGCTCTCAAGAGGAGTCAAAATTTTGTCTCCTCCATCTATTATTCACGTCTCAACGTACTGGAATGGAATTGTCAGAAGGATCCTCACTGTCGGAAACATGCACGTCCTGAAAAGATGCATAACAAATCAATTGAAGTTTGAAAATCCTTACTCCTTCTACAGCCAATAGCGTGATCAGAATCCGCGAGTTTGCACAGGAACAAGAGAAAAACTGGTGAGAGATCTCAGAAACGAGCTGGGGCTCAACGTGTCTGACAGGGTGTAGATTTCAGTGGTGGATCGATCGATGCAAATCTTTATTGATTCATCGGAAGGTTGCACAATTTTAGTTTATCTTCACCCCTGATAAAGTTCACGAAATTACACTTCACTTTGAGCCTGGAGCCACATCGAGGGACAGAGTTTGATCCCATCTGATACAGGTGGCTGCTCGTAAGAAACATCTTTTCTCGACTTGACTCTCCCAAAATGAGCTTTACAACAAACATGGTTAAAACATTTACAGGTTGAAGGGCCAAAGCTGCCGTACGATGCGAGAGTCCTGCTTTGAGCTATCAGATGCTGCATTGATCGCCCACATTTGCTGGGCCTAATGGCTTTTGACAAACTAATTTCTTCTCAAACTGGAATCTAAAAAAAAAGCCTGACCAATGACTAAGCAAACGAGTGAAGGAATCCAACCTGGCATCAAAATTCACCGTTTATTTTAACCGTGAGGAATCGAGACTTTTTTCACGCAGTAGGACCTCACTGTCAATCAGACACTCAACAAGTTTGAACTATCTGTTTATGTTTAGCATCACGCATTCCTAGCTTGCTTGAGGGTTGACGGTAGTTTGTGCTGGATCGGCGGACAGAGAAACTACGACAAATATGGCGCGAGTTTCTCGGGAGATAAAAATATAAGCACATTTGCTTCCGGTATCCCTCTGGGTCACCAAGGAGCACTGATCATTAGTCAACTCCTCGTCGACAACTACGTTCATCTAAATCGGAAACCAAAAGAGGAATCACAGACAAGCCGATTATCGTGCTTCTCTTAAAAATAGGGCAAGCGAAATACGGTTCCGGTAGGTGGGTGGGTGGATAGGTAGCTGAGTGTATTGATCAATTTCCGCATGCAAAAACCTCCGATGGCAGTGGAGGGACGTCACAAAGCTCAATATAGAAGGATCCAAAAATAAAAACATTTGGGAAATCACTATCCCTTGCCACCAGTGACCTAGGCCTTAGCCACAGCAGTCCGTAAAGATATGGCTTTCACTTTCACTCAGCCTGTCGATTGAGCTGCTTTCGTTCAGTCTGTTCACTCGATCAAGCTCTGCCTGCAGCCCCTGCATGAATCAGAAGCTGCCTGCTGGTGATATGGAGGACATGCATGCCTGAGCTTGATTTCTTCCACTGAGAAGCCAATCGTTCACAATCCTGGAGTCGGTCATCGAGGTTCAACATTCCGTGCGTACGTAAGTAGACTGAGCAAGATAGTCCTAGCACGGGCTCTGTTACTCAGGCTTCCGGCTGCATTCGAGATCTGTTGCTGAGAACAGAATTAGGGCTCAAGGATGGGGAATACGGTGGTGAAATGTTGCGCTGGACAGGGAACGGTGAGAATTATGAAAACGGACGGGAATGTGGAGGAATTGGAGTGGCCCATATCTGCAGAGGAAGTGATGAAGCGGCATCCTGCACACCTGGTAATAGATTCCACTCGCCTAGAGAAGAAACAGAAGTATCAGGTGGTTGGGCAGAGGACGAACAAAATCATACTGATGCGTCCACAAATGGCTCTCCAACCAGGACACTTGTACATCCTGTACCCGGTCCCAGTTAATCCTCAACGAGAACCAGAGCTCTCGAGATCACTCTCTTTTGAAACTGTTCCTGTCCCACCTCAGCAATCACTCAACAGATCCTATTCTTATTCCAGCTCTCTTTCCAAGAAAGTGTCTCTGAACACCAGTCAATCCTTTTCGTCGCCAGACCCATTCGAACACTTCGAACACTTTAACACAACCATGAAGAGGAGGAGGTCGTCAGTGGTTATTGCCAGTGACATCTTACATTCATTCCAAGCTAGGGAAGAAGCGGTAGTGGATGAGCCTGCAGTCCCGGAACCGAAGGAGGAGAAGCAAAGAGGTCACGGATGGAGTCCATCGCTGTCTAGCATTCCGGAATCGCCTGCTGGATCCTTGCGAGTGTTTGAATCATCTTCAGGCCAAGCCTCATCGAAACAGATGACTAAAGTGCCTTTGAGAAATTCGAGCAACATCAACAAGCTTCTGAAACAAGCTCTTCTCAACAAGCATCCGAGAAGTTTCTGGAGATGATCTTCCTGCTCTTCCGCCATCGTTACAACAGCTGGTGTTCGAAGGTGGGGTTGACTTAACCGTGACAGTAGTAGCTCTTGGATACAGGGCAGCTGCTGAACTCAAGGAGTATCGCCCATGATGCGACCATACTTGTACCGGTGTATATTTGTGCCCTTCATGCGGGAGCTGAGACGTGCTCTCTCGTTGAATTGCAGCAGGATAAGCTTTGCTCCTCATCTGTGATGGAGTCAAGGGGCATAATTCAACACAGCAGTATTTCCCATTGCAATGTGGAGATGGGGACGCGCATAATTTGCTGCGAGGGAGCTGCTCTTCATAAATGTTGGAGTATAAGCTGCAGGTGAAACGCATCTGGTGCGATCTAAGGTGATCGACCAGATTGCTTGAAGCTCAGATTAATCACGAAGTCCGAGTAAGATGGAAGTTAGTCTGTATTCAGAACTAGTACTTAGTGGCAAACCATTACTTCCTTGAGCAAAGAATTTGATGATTGATGAAGGTCTGATATGGCCGTAGTTTCCAACTGTCAGAGTCGAGCCGAGAAGAGATACTGCAAAACATGAACACCAGGAGTGTCATGCAACAGTCTACCACCTGATGGCAGAAGTTGCACGTATGTCAGCCATGTTTTGACCTCTTGAGTGCTGGGCGATATTACTTCGCATCTTAAGAGCTCTCTATATGCACTGAAAGGGATTGAATCCGTGGTTAGGAACTACAATCCTATCTTTTTACGGACAGACTGATATTGCTCAAGCATCTCGACTTTACATCACAAGCGCCATGATGATCATAGTGTTTGTGCTGTGCAGTCGAGTAGATTAGATTAGATTAGATTAGATAAGTTCAAAAGACCCTTGTCATATTAGAGGTCTTCTTAGTTTAATTAGTGTTCATCTTACTTTTATCACTGTAAAATTCATGTAGTCATCTCAAGTTCCCATCTCGCATCTATGGAGATTTCTTCTTGTCAAGTTTCGATTCAGTGGAGAGAGTTCATGGTTGTTGTCAGGTCGAACCTGACAGGTAGAAAACTGCAACGAAGCAGTGTTCAGAATTTCAGAACTTTGCAGCAGTCCGTCGATTATACCCTCTTTGGTCTACAAGGTCGATGCCATGAATGACCACCGAACCTAGCAGCAGATTGTGAACAAGCTTCAGTTTATTCAAGTGAGACGTGGCGTTTATAGTATAAAGCGCAGATAATCCAACAAAGTCGGTTAAGTCCACCCTTCTACTTGCAATTATGATGCATGCTTTGTTGCGCCGCATGGCTGCAGTAATGTTCTTCAAAATGCAGCGTTTATGCTGTCCACCATTGTAGAAATCTGACCGATTTTATAAGTTTTGCATGCGACAGTCTGAGCAAAGCTATTTTTTTTAAACAGATCCTCACGAAAACATCTCCATGTTAACAATTCACATTGAACTTCTGGAAGTAATATAATCATTTTGTTAAGTATAGTTTTAATAGTTAAACTTAGTCTTCATTAATTTGACTTAGTCTTAACTAGCTCAATAGTGGTTAATTTTTTGGCTAACTGCAATTCTAGTTTATAGAAACAATTATCGGTCTCCAAAATGAGTCTGCAAAATAAATTATTATCCTCAACGTCACTCTTGAGGATTTAAGTTCATACTATGCCATGAGTTGTGACATCGTTAAGTAATTCAGTTTGGAGCGAAATTTATCAGCTGATGTCCTTCATCAAAGCAACATACAATGGTATGGATGATTCCATGATTCAATCCAGTAGATGTTTTGCTAGTGCTGTTCGACGAGTGTGATGTTGCCAAAACAATTATCGTGAAGATGGTGGAACCAATGCTTTCACGCCCACAAGTGAATAATGATGGGTGGCAAAATCTTGGAATCTACAACCACCACCTCACTCTTAATCAAAAGCTCTTAATTCCGATTTATGATCTCCAAGTTGACTCTCACTTGGGTTTGTCTCAAATAGTTTTTGATTATAATGTATATGTGTTCCAAACGTACTTCCACTTAAACTTTCAACACATCATTCAATTACAAACATTCATAGATACTCAAATCGATAGAGAAACTCAAATTTATATTGATGAAACAAATCTTAACACAATGAACTTTCTATCTATACTATTTGAAAGACTAGCATAGCAACGGATGGTAATTACTATTCAACTTGCTTTTAGAAAAATAAACCAAGGTAGATTTGATTAGTTGTCAATACATGACAACATATCATTAGTCGACCTAAACCTTCTAAAAGTATCATATTCTCTAGATTGAAGTAGCGATATGCCATTTGAGAATTTCAAACTTCTACAATTTTTACTTGACACTAAGTAAACTTTAGACTTAGTATAACAAATGAAGTTTAAATTACTTAGCCATGTAGTCAAAAGCTTTATCTCTTGGAATCAAGAATTTTGTAAGAGACAAAATAGGAATGTTCACTCAAATCTTCTAGAATTAACCTAATTATTATGCCAAGTATAGATCTCTGTAACCATATTTAGTTAGTTAGAACTAATGTTGAAGTTGCTCAAAATTTTTATATAGTTATCTTAGCGTGCACTAGTCATAGCTGCCACATCAGCGATCCACGTGCTTGGTAGGTAGAGAGTAAGTGTGTTAGTTGACAGCGCCACGTAAGCGATCTGTGTGCCTGTTAGGTAGAGAGTAAATGTGTTAATTAGTGTGTTAGTTGAGAGCGTCAGGTCAGCAATCTGTGTGCTTGTTAGGGTTATCCGCCACGTCATCCATCTACTAGGAGTGGGATGGATGTTAGGGATAAAATATTATTTTCTTGTACTTGTTGAAAAGAGCTATATTAGGAAGAGTAGAACCATTGTTGATATCTTTCATATTCAAAATTTATGTTTTCATCTTCAAATGAACTTCTATCTAAACCCTAGTGTTGGCATTAAACTGCACATCGTTGGCGTTCGTGTCAAGGTGGTAATTTAGGCAGACATGATTCATGACTAATGCTTATATTAACACACTCCAGCTACATCATGCCACTCATCAATGCAGACAAACACACTGTAATAACCCACTAAAGGCTAAAACTGCAATATAGTGGTAGAAAGGTCGAACCCACAGGGACAGAGGAACACACAGGGTACAAAGTGTCACGTTTTAACAGACTATTGAGGAGTTTGAATTCTCAGGCGACTGTCACTCCCAGAAATACTGCAAGTGTCCACTCGGAGCGCACTCGGAGGTCGCACAGTGCAGCGTAACACGCACACACACACACACCTGAAACTACAGAAACACAACCTAGAGATCCGTTAGGACCTCTACTTCAAGATTTCAGGGGGAAAGTCTCTCACGAGCACACTCGGCAAAGCTGCGGGCAGTGACTTCCAACTCCGGCTTTTACAACACTTCCACTAGCTTGCTGCTAGTGTAGGAAACCCGGTTTGGACTGCCTACTTCGGATCGAAGTCACTCCTACGCGGTGAACAACACTCTCAACTCACAAAACGCGCAGAGAACACAGGTCCGCACTGAAGGACTCACTGTGAAACATTCCAGTAACACAACAACAGTCTATTGAAGAGTTTGAATTCTCAGGCACTTGTCATTCCCAGAAATACTACAGGGGTTACCCTCAAGGCACCTGCTGCAGCGTAACCTGAATTTACAACCAAGGCTTACACGAAGTAGCAAAACTTCACTTTGGCATTCAGGGGAAAAATCCCAAAGGAGTACAATCAGAAAGAAACACTCGAAGGTGTAGGGGCGAAACTGTTCAAGTATCTAACTAGTCACTGGCTCTGAGCATCGGCAGTCACCCGCAGGTGCAGATCCGAACTACTCAAGTCTCTAACCAATGTACTAGCTCTAAACATTCGGCCGAAGGCCTTCAGCTACAAAATGCGGAACGCTAAGTTGTAACTCCTCGTGCGTGGTGACAGAACTCAAGGACACAAACACGCAAAGGAAATGGGTTCCTGATCTGCACTTCTGATGGGAAAGAACCCCAGGCAAAACGCCTGGAACTATTTTATACCTTCTAAGTCCTACCTAACACTACACTGCACTACGCTACACGCCTGCACGGAACCACGCTACACTACACTCCGCGGAACCTGTACTACGTCTCCTGCGCGGCCGACTGCCGCGCACTAACTCTCTACCCTGCCACTCTTCCGCTCGACTGCGCAGTCCCAACCGCTGCAACGCCGCGGACACCTCCCCCTCGAGGGCGGACATGGTATCCTGTGCCTTCGACAGAAAGGCCTCGAGCTTCTTCGCTACCTTCCGCCGACTCCTACTGTCGCCTGACAACAACCCGGCTGCGCGCAATTCAAACTCACGCAGTGTGAGTTTCTCCTGCGCCTTCACTTCCCAGTGGGCGTAGCCCTTGAGACAGTGGGCGACTCGCCTCGCCGTCTCCACCTTCGTGCGATCCGCCTCCTTCCTGCGATCCTCTTCAATGGTCACTAATTGCGATTCGGCTTCGGCACGTTGCGCCCTCAATTCGCCACACTCTGACTGTAACCTGCGGATTAATTCTTCATCCGCCTGCCGTGCGAGCTGACATTGCTCCAACAACCGCGTCTGTCGCACGAGCTCCTCTGACAAAATCCGATTCTGGGCCTGCTCAGAGTTGAGTGCTTCCTTGACCTTCACCTGCTCCTTGGTGAGCTCGCCCAGTTTCTCATCCTTCATCTTCTCGGAGTGCTTGTAGAATTTCTGATTAAGCTTGTACTGTCCCCACAAGCACTCATGCTTCTCCCTCAAGTCTCTCAACTCCTGGTCCACTCTAGCTAATAGCTTGCTGGTGTGGACTTTAGTGCGAGTCCGCCTGCGCACTAACTCGATGTAAGATCCCGGCTGGAGTGGGTCGGCGTATTTATCGACCTTGCGATCCAAGTACCGCAGCAACGGAATCACCTGCTCAGAGAGCGCCGCCGCCGGCGCTCCAACAATTTCCTCCTCCTCCTCCTCGGTGTCTTCTGCTCCTGACATTTCTTCCGTGGAGCCCCCGTCGTCATCATCCGAGTGGAGAATTTCAGTCGCCATTGATTGCGTTGGCGACTGCCCCGAGTGGGGCTGCACGTCCTCGACGTGTGCTGCCTGCGAAGGCACGGCTGCGGCCTCGCTGCTCGTCGCCAAAATGTCTAAGGCGGAAGGCGAATGTATCCGAGCGGCATCCCCGTCGCTCGCTGGTTGATTGCCCACCTCATTCTCCCTGTCGCCGTCGTCCGTCGCCGAAGGCGATCGAGCGGAGGGTGGCTGCGCGGGGTTGGATTGCGCATCGCGCATCGAGATGTCGTCCCGCGGACAGTCACTCCGCTCCTCCGTCTGCTGCTCCCTCGATCGGTCCGTGGGGGCTGTGCCCGGCCCGTGCGCAGGCGCATTTGCCGGCGCCTTGTCCGTTGCAGGCGTAGCGCCGCGGACATCTATCGCCGAAGGCGACATGGCCGGGGGCCGCACGCCCGATGTTCCTTGGCCTATAGGCCCTACCGCCGAAGGCGCATCTATCGGCGGACTTCCCGCCGATGGTGCAGCCTCCGCACGCTCTCTGCTCGTATCTCCTCGGCTCGAAGGCCCTGGCGCCGAAGGCGCGAATTGCGGCGCGTGGTGCGCCGGAGGGTCTGGCCCCGAGGGCCGGTGTCTCGTAGGCGGTTCTTCCGCCGGCTCCTTCCCCTTCCTGCGTTGGAACGGGGGTGATTCTTGCCTGTGCACAGGCGGCACGTGCGGAGGTGTTCTGTGCACAGGTGACCTGTGCACAGGCGACCTGTGCACAGGCGAGCGCCTGTGCACAGGCGGACTGCTCCTTCCCACGCGTAAGCGTAGATCCACGTCCACTTGTGTTCGCCGGTCCGCGGAGGCTCGTCCGTCCGCGGAGGTTTGCCTGTGCGCAAACGGAACATCTGTCCGCATCGCACGTGGTAACTCCGGAGGCCCTTGGCCCGTAGGCGGCCTCTCTCCCGACGAGGTTGCAGCGTGGCCCGTCGCTCCTGCGGTCGTCCGCGCTTCTTCTCGCCTCTCTGGCGACGCACTTCCTATCTCCGTCGCAATCGTCGCCGTGTCTGCACTGTCAGCTGGCAACACCAGTCTGCGTGCTTTCTGCTTCGGCCGGCTGTATGGCTCGCACAGCGGCCGCGGTCGAATGGGAGCAGAGGGTTCTTGATGCTGCTCCTCTTCGGACTCTTCCCTCCATCGCCGCTTCCGCGGCACTCGCGCTGCAGGAGT